AAAAAAAACAAAAATAAAACAAAACCCAAAAACTTTAAGGAGACCTTATTGTGACCTTTCAATACATAAGAGAAGGACTATAATGGAGAATTTTATTCCTTTTTTCCTCCAAGGATCTGTAGTGGCAGAACTAGAGGTAGCAATTTTAAAGTGGTACAGGTTAGATTTACATGCTCCATTCCTGGAAATGTTCAAGGGTATGTTGTAGGGGAGTTTTAGCAACCTGATCCAGTAAAAAAGTCCCTGCAAAGAGGGGCATTTATCAAGCTGGTTTTGACTGTAGCCCAAAATGCTATATGATTCCATGATTCTTTAATTTCTAAAGGAAGAGATACTGTATTAACAAGATGTGACTGAGGAAAATTTCAATCACTTGAAGTACCTATGAGAGGCTGGGGCTAATGCAAAATGTTTAGGATTTCTTGTTCCCTAATAAATATGTTACATGCTCCCCAATAAATATGCTGATTGAAGTAAGGTGAAAATGAAAGAAAAAGCATATAGGACTAATATTATCTTAAATACTTTGGAGATATTATCTAGGTGATAGTTCATCTGAGTTTGCAATGTCCTTCTAGGGTTTATCTCTTAATTTTATTACAGTCTTGTATTTAGATTATGATAGTCAACAATCTATGGATCCTAATTATGCTATAATTTAGTTATTTGAACCTCCTCATCTTTCTCTTTTTATTTCTTTTCTTTCTGTTTGAATTAATATCTTAACTCATGGACTGTTACTGCAGCATATACAACATGTCCTAGAGAGGACTACATAAATACATTAAATTTCAAGAAGGAAATCACAGATCACAAATCACAAGCATTATGCAGTCAAGAAAATACTTTGCCTAATTTAATTGTTTTATTCTTTGTTCTTCACTGAAAGTACCTCTATTATAAAGACTACTCAAGATTGACTTTAAGCAGTTGTTAAAGATAATAGCATGGTTACATGCTGCCCTGTGTTGAACTTATTTGTGTATACATAAGTGCTTTCCAGAATCAGGGCTATAGATTTATTGCTTTTTGACACCTCACATCTACGCAGCCAGAGGTAATGTAAATTTGTGGTGGTGGCCAAACTCGCAGAATATTTTCTCACACATGTACAATAAAACAATCAGCTGAAAGCAAAAATGTCTTGTGACACTGACACAATGATTGCTGAATATTTTAGCATCTAGTATTTTGCTATTTTGCCATATTGTAATATAATGACCGCTTTGTAACAGTGTAATAAAAATATGCATTATGTGCAAAATACTATATTTACCATCACAATGATGTTGTAATGATAACCTCCTTGGATTGTGAGAATGCTCTTCACAGTCATTACATTAAATGAAGGTATTACAGATAATTAGGCTAAAATGGTAGTACTACAACACTAAGACTTATTCACTGAAGTAGCTTTATTTTTTATTTATCAAATGTGAAGCAAGGTTTCTGTCTTTACAAAATATGCTTGTGCTTATTAAGTTCCTTTTCATTTTACTATCACTTGGAGATTTTATGTGGGCTATGATTGCTCTCTTGGTTCCTTCTCCTTTCAATTCTAAAACATTTAGATAGTATAACAAGAGGTGAAAGTTCATACTAAATTTTGGGGTTTTATTTTTCTTTCAGGTGCTGGATTAAATAATGGCCAGTGGCATTCTGTATCTCTCGCTGTCAAAAGGAGCCGTATCAGTGTAAGAGTGGACAATGATGTGACCACATCTGCTCATGCCTTCATACCTCTGCAGATTTATTCAGATGTTTTCTACTTTGGAGGTGAAATACTATTGTTTGTTTATATAGGCAATATCCAATGGTTACACATCAAGTTTTCCTGAGTATCTAATCAAATGAAAACAATTGTTTGGCTTGCTTCAAATCTTCTTTGCCTAGCTTGATTCAGGCACTGTTATGATGTTTTCAGTTTCCTTTGAATTTTACCATGCTGGGTGGAATAAATCACCACCCTAAATTCTTGGTCACTTTTTAGATTGTCATAACTTATGTTGCAATAATTGAATATCATCTGGCTGGAAATCAAACAGACACACAAAGGTTTCTCTTGCTGTAGACTTATTGTTTTGCTAAATGAATATTTTGGAGTGTCTTCCACTGTAATAACTTTAAGTTTTCACCTTAAGTATATGCTTATATGTGTAAATACTCTCCTTGTGTGATATATAGATTTTTTTTTTTTTTTTACCACAGTGTGTAACTGTTCTTCATTTGATTAATATAATTTGTGCCTAAAAACCTATATGTACATATAGGTTCATTTTTCTAGGAATATCAACAGTCATCTGTCATCAAGAGATTATGTCATTAATAACGTGTCTTGTTACAGATTGAGAGGAATATGTTGTTCTGTTATTCATATAATTCTTTTGGGAATAGGCTGCATAGAAGCAATGATAAACATTACCTGACTGTGTTGTTTGCCTAATGCTTCCTCTCTTTTAAACATTAATGGTTGAATTATGAAATTATTAATTATTTATTAATAATTCTCAAATGCCTGAGAAAACTGAGAAGGTTATCTACAAAAGTATGGACTCATGGACATCATACTCATAATGAGTATGGACTCAGTCATTGTCTAGAGACAACTTCCCTTGAAACAATAGGTTTTAAATAAATTTCATGTTCACAGATACACGCTTAGTGCAGTAACTGCTACAGGAGCATTCACATGAATTTTCACCTCTGGCATCTACCCTGTTATACTAAAAACATCCCTTGACTTGGCTAATAACCAGCAAAATCAGAGAAAGATGGAAAATATTAGTATTGAGTAAACCTTCTATGTTGGTTCAGGTTCCCAGATCTTGATCAGGTGAATTTTCATCATTGCAGAGTTGATGGCACAGATGAACAGTTCAGAATGGATGTGGGGAGTTACAAAAAGCAGCATATTCGATTAAGTTGTAGAAGGGCACTTCTATTTGTGTTTTGCAATGTGGAGAGGGCAAAATAATTCCATACTGGAAGTTCCAACTCCATATCCACCCCTCAGATTCTATGATATCAGCCTTATCACTGAAAACTGCAACTCATGCATCTCATGCAGTTAGGGAATGCTAGAAGTGGGTTTCTGAGTTTAGAAAATCTTTATTAAATTTTTATATTATATGCCAGTGTCAAAATGCAGACAATGCATTTTTACTTTCTTTACAAGTTTATATGAATATTTACCACGTTTGTGCTGTTTGTTAAACTATGAGTAGCAGCCTTTCAGGGCAGATGTCCTGGGGAAACAGTGATTTGTTTACTTGATTTAATGAATACAAAGTATGCAGGAAATATGTATGTTTAACTAGGAAAATGTGTAATAAACATGAAAATATTTTAGTGTTATGTCAGCACAATTTCTAGTTATGCCATCATCAAGGGTCTCTAACCTCTTTCAGTTCTTTTAATAAAAACTCATTACAACTGTAAGGGTAAATGAGATCATTTAATATTGCAATAAGAAATAAATTTAAATGATTAAAGGATTTCTTTTTGTCTTTAATACCTAGTCTACAATTGTAAGGAAACACAATTTAATCAATATAAATGGTATTTGTCTCTTCTCTAATAGAAGACAATTTTTGGAAAAGAGACACCAAGAAAAATATCTGAGACACAATTTTGTAAAATAGCTATGCTGAAAATTACAAACTTTTCCTGATTTCTTTGGCCTTTATTTATTTGTTTGGGGTTTTTTTGTTTATCTATTATTTATTTATTTAGGCTCTACTTGAAGTATTTTGTTCTCAAATGAGCATCACATTTTTCACTAGAAACGACAGAATTTATGTTGCCATTCAACTGTAGAATGCTGTAAAACACGTGGTTAAACCTGTAATTCATTTGTCTAACTGTGCATGGTGCTGAAAACTTACTGTGCTCTTATTTTTACTTTTGCAATTCCACATATTTGTTCTTAAAACAACACACCAGGTAGATAATAAACATTTGCCTTTAGAAACATGATAAAAATTTTGATCAATTTGGTTCCTGAGCAGATTTATACACACTGCAAGTCTATTAACTTGTAAAATTTCAGTTTTAATTCATTTTCTAATCTATATTTCTCAAAAATATATCTATACTATTTATGTTGTGGCACACTTATTTGAATATATTTAATAGTTTCTACTGTCACTTTTCTTTTCTGTATCATAAGCCTCTCCACTGTCTTTACAAGACTTCAAAAGTACTCGTTAGCTTTGTGGAATACACAAGTGTCTTAAAACTCATTGCTTCCTGACATCGTAAAACAGGAAGGTCTTCAAATGCTGTGAATCAGAATGCAGTATTGTTTGACTAAAATCAAAGGATGACTCTTGTGCATCATTGAAGGAACAATAATACCCCATGGAAGAAAGACAAATAAAGCATGGTAGTGCAGTGTTTAGCTGACATTGGGAAAAACTGCTCAATGTACATGTTTTAAATCAAATCAGGATTAAAGCAATTTATTTATTTATTTACTACAAATGTTTACTTATTTGGCAATCAGTGAACAAGGCATTTCTGAACCAGTAAGACAATAGATAAGCCACAATATTAAATTCTTACAGAGTGTGTCTATCCAGATGGCATGGATGGTATGTAGTCTAAACCTCAGTTCTAAACAAGTCTGATTAGATAAGATGTGACAACTCAAGCCTTGTACAATTGCAAAGATGGAAATCTTATAACTTCTTGGGGCAAATTGTTCTCATATGGACCACTGTCACAGTAAAAATACTTGTTGCTTGTGTCTTATACTTTATGAACCAAATTTGTAGTTATAGTTTTGTCCTTTGCCTCTTGTCCTGTCACCATATATTGCAGGAAAAACTCCTGCTCCATCTTCTCTGTGCCATCTTATCAGATATCTTTACCTTCTCTTCTTAAGAGTGAGTAGGCCCAGGTCTCTCATACTCTCCTCATAACTGCATTCAACTTCCAGCCACCTTGGAGGCCTCCTGTGGCCTCACTCTAGGATATCAGTGTCCTTTCTCCCCTGTTCTGGGGAGCCAGAACTACAGCACTCCAGATATGGCCTCACAAGTACCATGCAGCAGGAAGAGCCACTTCTCAAGGCTTGCTGACTATGCTCTTGGCAATGCATCCCAGAATGGCATTGGCCTTCTGTGCTACAAGAGCACTTCCCCAGATCATAGCTCACGTGATAGTCACTAGGATCTCAGGCCTCTCTCTAGACAGTTATCCTCCAGTTTGGATTGTTGTGTGGACTTGCGCCATCTCAGATTAAAAATCTTGATCTTGTTCTTAATGAATTTCATGACATTCCTATCCAAGTCCCTTTGAGTTGCAGCCCTGCTCTCCAACATTTTGCCCCTTCCTCTGGTTTGGTATCAGTTGCATGCCTGATGAAAGCACATGCTGCCTCACGATCAAGGTCATTAATCAAGACGTTATAGATGTCACTACTGATCTCTAAAAAATCTTCTGCTCAGTGATCATCAGCTGGATTTTGCAGCATCAACTGCCTGCTTATTCCACCCATATATATCGTGAATCTGGTGATAGGGACATAATAGAACTGTAAATTCTTTGCTAAAGTCATGGTATGCAATACTCAGTGCTCTCCCTTTATACTGTTCATCACTACAGCAAAGAAAACAAAGACCTCAGTCAGGAATAATTTAACCTTGAAGCTAAAGTTAGCCAGTTAACTTCTTGTCCTTTGCATGTTTAGGAATGGCTTTAAGAAGTTTTGCTCTGTGAATTTTCCAGGTACTGTGATAAGACTAACAGCCCTCTAGTTTCCTGAAGATGGGTGTTACTTTTCCTATTATCAAGAAGTTAAGCATATTGCCAAGACCCTTTGAGGATTAAAATGTTAATGAATCCACAATGACAATGTCAATCATTAAAATAGCATTGATCAGCTCCTGCAGCATACTCAGGTGCACCTTGTTCTTTTACTGTGTTCTTTTACCATGGATACTACAGTCTTTTTTTTATACTCTGCTAGGATATGGGAATCCTAAAGATCAGTTTTACCAGTGAAGAAAAAGACCTTGAAGGAAATGATTCCCTTGTCACTAAATCCCCTGCCCCATGTGATATATGGATAATATCCTTAATTTCTTTAGCCTTCTGTTGTACCTACAGCAAATTTTTTGTTGCACTTGAACTTCCTTGGCAAGTTTTATCTCCTCTTGGTTTCCTACGTACATTCCTAGGTTGTGTCTTTGTATTCTTCTCTATGTTGCATGTCCCTGATACCACATTTTGTGTGCTTTCTTTTTGTATTTGCACTCATTCAGGAGCTCCATGTTGCAGGCCTTATGTCACACTTAATTAACTATTTTGATATTGCTATGGACTTCTCTTTTACTCTGAAGGGCTTTTTTGTTGAAAACTATCCCATCCTTTTGCTCACAAGGCAATTTTTAATGGTATCCTCAAAACAGATCCTGAACAGAAAAATTTTGGTTCTTCTAAAGTCAAGGGTTATAATTCTGGAGTTTATTTATTTCTTCTCCACAGCTTCATCCTCATGTTTGCTGTAACCAAGTCTATCCTTGATCTTTAAATTTTCAACCATTTCTTCCTTGTCCATGAGCAGCAGGTTCAATGGAGCATCTGTCCTAGTTGAGTCATTCATTGACAATCTGCAACAAGAAGTTCCAGTACTTTACAAAATATTCCTAACAGCTGACAGAGCAGAATCACTGTACTTAATAACTGGTTGTTTCGATTTTTTTTTTTCTTATTTGGCTTCAATTGTGACTTAAAACTTGTTCAAATCATGTGACCTTGTATTGTAACCTAACTTACTGGGACTAAGGTGTCACAGTCTACCTGTTCGTATCTTGATTCCACTCATTGCTTTGGAACTTTTGTTTAGGTTACCCTTTAAAAAAAGTTTTAGCGTTGTTTTGCATATGGTTTAAAAACAGTAAGACTGCAGAGAAGTATTTCTTTTCAGTCATACAACCATAGTTTATCAGAAGAGCTTCTGGCTAAAGTACTCCAATCACATAGTTTAAAATTTGTGGAGGTTATAAAAGTCCAATTTACTTTTGGAGTATATAATATTTTTCAGTAAAATATTTATTTTCAGCTCCAGTTTTTATTCTTTTTTCAGGCTGTCCTAGCAGTGGAAACATTTCTGAATGTAATACCTCATTTGGTGGTTTTCAAGGGTGCATGCGGCATATTTCCATTGGTAACAAAGCAGTGGATATGATCTCTATTCAGCAAAATGGTTTTGGCAATTTCAGTGATCTTCTCATAGATTTATGTGGCATTACAGACAGGTGAGAAAATTATGTTTACTTATTAATTTATTTATGTCTATGTTTTGCTTCTAATAGTGATTTGATGACAAAGAACAGAACACTTACAAAATTAAATGGTGTTTCTTTTGTAAGAATTCAGAAATCCTGAATAAATGCAGAATATGTAGCATATAGCAAATAGATTTTACTGCAAATAAAATTAACTTTGACTAAAATTATTTTATATTTCTGACAAATGTAAATATCTTGCTTTCTTTTCAAGTAAGCTGCAGACACAAATCCCCTACTGCAACCTGTAGCCCCATCCACCCTTTAAAATACTATGTTTTTTACAGTTAATGCTGTTTCCTATATTCTCCAGAAACACAGTAGATAATATCCATCACAGTGAGTGAGCAATTGCCTTTTAGACAATGGTCAGAACTAATCTCATAATTTGCAATTAGCATCTATCTAAAAGAATGGCTAGTTAAAGTGTACCTTCTCAAAAGGAAAGTCCCTCCCCAAAGAGAAAAGACTATATACATTCCCAGAAATATAAATTCTTGAAAGAAAGACATTGCTGGACTTCAGTGTAGTGAAAGCAGAGGGGATTGCAGAACACAAGGTGCTGAAAAGAGAGGGAGTAGACACACAGTCAACAGAAGCAGAAGTTTTATTCTGTAGACTCCAGAGAATGCAGTCACAGACAGTTATGCTGTCTTTAATCCCAAAGTGTTTTAATTGGACCCAGGTGAAAGGCTGTATTGAAAGGACACAGCAGGCAGAGGGGAATCATGTGCTTTTGAATAATTGTCCCTTCACTTTCTATATTTCTAGTCCTCATAAATTGTCTTTTGATTTCAAAAAGTCTGTCTTTTGAATTACAAGACTTTTCAAAAGTTATGTCTTTTTGGGAAAACACTGTAGGCAGAGATCTGCTTTAAGACAATAGACAGTTTCAGGATTGGTCACACAACTTTACTTCTGTAACCTGCAATCCATTCCTAGAGACAACACAGTGTACTGCTATCCAGTTCTTATTTTGGAAACAGTTACTATTCCTTGTAGATGAAAGATGGAAAAAGTACTAGCTATTTACCTAATTCTTCATAAAAGTTTAAGGAGAGAAAAGTCCAAGTCAAGGATAAAAGTTCTGCCTACAATGTGATCCTTTCAGTTGTGTTTGTAGTGTGTATACTCACTAATATTTCTACACCTATCATACATTAAAACCATATGAAGTTCATATATATATATATGTAATAATTGTGCTAATTTATTACTTACTGAGCTAATCCTGACTTTGCAATAGGCACTGTGGTAGGCATGTGCCAAAACACATTTTACTTTACTGTATGGCTTACGAGGGACTTATATGTGGGATGCCACATGCATAGATGATTCTTTTCACCTTTCTTTCATACAGTAGTAAGCCTTTGACTTATTTTCTCAGTTTTCAGTCCTTCCTTAATACTCCTTCCTCTCCTCTTTGAAGGACCTCATGACACTGCCATTCAGTTTCTAAAGCACTATATCACTACTGCTTTTTGTACTCTGGAATTGAACTTGCTTCTGTTACATTGCTTGTTTTCTTGCTTGTATGAAGACAAAATCAGGTCAAAAGAATCTAATGTGAGAATCTGGATATTCTTTAGTCAAACACATTAAAGGATTTCTAAGCAAGATTATGAGTGAAAAATATCACGCAGTTGACTCACAATATGAATGAAACCATTTTCTGTCTGATTTACCATGAATTTTCCATTATTCACAGTAACTTTGGACCTCATAAATGCTCATCTCAGAGTTGCAGTTTAGAAGCCATTTTCTTCTTCATGAACGCAGACATATCTTACCAATTTTTTTAAAGAAAGATAGTACATTTTTTATGTAGTGCTTCCAGCTATTTTCCATTTTGAATGACCATAAGATGTAGGTTTGTCCATATAGGTTTTAAAAAGATGGTAAGTGTATAAATATTCAGTAAATTATGTTTAAAGCCACTATGTAAATCTCAGTATATATAAATCCAGCATTATTTGGAGTATACAAGTGTCAGAACACTTAACTCTTACTACTTTCTCACCCTTTATTTACTTGAGCTTATATTACTTTCATACTTTGTTAAAATTATTTGTGTTTTCTCAAGATCAGTGATACAAAAGGAAAAGAACATCTTTATGAGAGATTTTTAGTTGGTTGGTTTTGTTTTCTCTAATATTGCCTAGTGTTAATTTATGTCTCTTCAACTATCTTGACCATTGTGCTTTTCTTGCATTGGCTCTCAGTCTAAACAAAACTTTCATTTTCAGTTCCCATCATGCTGAGCATATGTTTTCCTAAGAAGTATAATCCACTAATTTTTATATTTCATTACCTTCATTGTATTTTTTTTCAAAACAGATTGCTTTTAAAAATCCTGTGTGGTCTTGTGCTTTCTTGCTTCTGGGACTATTTCTTTCCTGTTTCCTCGCACAGTCTCATTTAATTTAACATCCTCAACTCATAGTCTGGAACAAACTTAATGTCTCTTTTTATCAAGTTAATTCTATATCCACCATAGATCCCAGGTGATAAAGCACATATATTTGGCAAAATGAAAACTGCTTGCTGTTTTAAACAATATTTAATAGGTAGCTTGTGCATCATATTGTTTGAGAAAAAATGCTTTCCTCCTACCGTGATTTATAAATGTCTTTGAATGCTCTAAACTAATGAGCATTTTGTGTTCCTGGTAGTAAATATCTCCCTACAGGTGCGCACAAACAAATTCCTTCTTTCTCTTGGAGTCTTTATGAGAGTCTTTACATCTTCAGTTCCAATCATGAAGCATGGCTCAAATTCCGGAGTTATTGACAGCTTGTGTAAAAGTGTGATTGACACCTAAATATAGTCTTTTAATATTACTTTTACATATTTAAAGTGCATGAAAACACTTTACTCTTTGTGTAGCAAACTGGATTTATATGCAATAGTAAATAAACTGAAAACAATTCTATTTAGTACATTCTTTACCTCATCTATACACATTTAACATATGAAGAGTGGTCTTTATGAGATTTACAGTCTTCATGGAGAGATGTTTAGTTAATAATTAAATTTTCTGAATATAAATTATTGAGTTTTTTATTCATTTTATACAAACAAATGACATACAATTTTCTTATTTTAAGTTTTCTCACTTTGATAAACTTTCTAATTCCTTATCCTAGGCTTAAATTGTTATGACTGTTTGTAATCATCAGTCACTCCATGATCCCTCATTTAGACATTTCATTACATTATATCTTTATATTGTTCTATTACTTATATATCTCTTATGCATGCAAGCAATTCCCTTCATATATTTCTCCTTAATATCGTTCATCTCAGCTCCTTTATCAATATATATTGGTTTAATAACTCATAATTAGCTATAAACCATTCACAAAATCACTTTAAAGGACACAGTGTCATTCAAATACCTTACAATGTTAGCATATTTAGTCTCTGAGGAGAGAGTACCAGATGCGTCTGTCCTAGTTATAATGAGCCTCACACAGAAACATAAAATTTCCTACCAAGAGCTTTTGCCTTTTTGTCCTAGCAGCAGCATACAAAAAAAGGATTGAATGGGTTTATATATTTAAAAACAAAAAGACAAAAATAAAAATTATGATCACTGCACAGTTCTGAAATAATTTTTCACTTTTTGTTTTAATAAGCTGAAGAATTAAGAAATAATAGGCATTAAAAATGCAGCAGTTATTTATTTTTTTAAAAGGATATATTAGCCATAATTTAGAACCTGGATAAAGAAATAGTATACAAAAAAATGTGTCTAGTTGAAAATTGACATACAAAGCTCTTATTTTCCCCTTTTTATCACAACTACATTCATATTCTGGATTGTCCTCTCAATATTAATTTAGAACTTCTGCCTTAGTCTAAAATATATAATTTTAAGAAGCCATACACTTAAAAGCATATTATCAAGAAATATGTGGTAAATGTTTAATCAGCTGTTGCTTTTCTGGTTTTAGCAGACATGATGATGAATCAAAAAAATAATTTTTATAGATGAAGTATTAGAAATACTGTATCAAATATGAGAATTTTTTTTTTAGAAAATGATCTTGTTCAAAGAAAAATGTGTTCTGAATCTTGCTTTGGGGTAGGGTCACAGCATATAATGTAATTTACATTTACTTTGATGTAGCTAGTGGCTACTTTCTATTATACGTTCTGAAGCAGAGGAAAGAACTTAATGTTAAAAGATTTAAATGTAATGGTAAAAAACTTAAATTATACTCTTAACTTGTTTTCACTTTCATTAAGGTTGGTTCAAGCATCATCAATTTCTTTGAAGATTTTCATCTTGTGAGCAATATGAGGAAGATTAATTAGTAGGGATAGGGAGTCAAGTAAAGACCATGTAAAACACAATTTTTGGATAATGTCTTTATCAAAAAGGCATAAGACACAAATTGTAACTGAAATAAAAACAGACCAGCTGTCAGTGAATGCACTGAATGGCAGTTTGGCTAGACATTTGTATTTATAAGAACTGATGATTAGCTGTACCTATAGAAAATAAAATAGAACATTTACCTAAGAAACATTAGTATTCATATTTAGGTAATTCTGTCAAAGAAAGTATTTATAATCAAAATAATTGCAAGCCTGGTGCCTAAGATTTATCTTCACACTCCAAAACAGAATTCATTGAGACATATATCATCTTTTGAGTAGTCTTAGAAATACATTTTTTGAGTGAGAGAATAGATACAAGATTAGCTCTTTCACTGCCAAAAAATGTCACAGATTTCCTTGGAAATAGGTGACATCTATCAGTTTACTTACTTTACCTGTACTTCACTTGCTACTTCTTTTTTTAAATCTCTTCTGTGAAAACACTTATCCTTGTTTATAAACATGAAAGAAAGATAAAGTTCTTTGAGTGGCATAAGCAGCAAATGCGCAAAGACCCTGAATTATTCATAGAGCACATGTGTGAAATACTGGACTTTCTTCAATCCTAGTTTAATATTCTCCTAATGTTTCTGGGATGAATTAAAAGGTATTTTAAGATCCTATGAGTGTTTGTGGGTATGTTGCTTTTGTTAGTTTTGGTTTTTTCCTGTGGCTAATGTCAACAGTAAAGTCATTTTACACTTTCTGACCTGTATCATACACATAAACTCAGTGCAGTTAGAATGTTAACTAATTTCTAAGGTGAAAAGCTAAATAATATTTTTTTACAAGGTAGTTAATAATTGGTTGAAGTGTGCCAATCTATTTCAATATACTCTCCACTGCATTTATAGATAAAAAAACCTATTTTTTTTCATGTCACAATTATTTTATACTTTAGTATAGTGCTGCAGTCTTAAACAATAAGAAGGTACAGGTAAATTATTTTTTTCAGTCAATTATTGTATACTTAGACAAAAGTAATCAAAACTCTTCAGGATTTTAGTCATATTAGCAGAATGGAGGCTGTCTTTACAAGTAGTTATGTTGGAACCAACATACTGAACTCTTTCTAAGATAGAAATTAAACAGGATTTTGGAATAAGAAATAGATGTCAGGTGCTGTCGTCAGATTTATTTGTTAGGTGATTTTTTATTACTATTTTTTCAAGAACAGAAAGAAATCTGCTGCAATTGTGCTTTTTTTTTTTTTTTGATACATGTTGAAGCAATCCCAGTAATTGCCATTGAATTATCAACACATTAATCTTTCATTAGTTTATAAGTTTGTATTGAATTGCGACCAATTGAACACTAATACCAATTCTACATCTTATACCTGATTTCTGTTCTCACAGCCTTGTTTTATAATTAAGATATTTTTATAAGCAAAATAAATACCAGGGAATAAATTATCTTAATTTTCTTTTGCTTATTATATTGACATTCTTACCAATGACATTGATGACTTCCTTCACCTTATATTTCTTTTCAAAGATTTTGCTTCTCTTGCTAAGTACAATAGTAAGTGAGGAGAAAAAAAGAGTGTAAATGCATATTGTTTCTTGTTTTAGGTGTTTGCCTAATTACTGTGAACATGGTGGTGAGTGCTCACAGTCCTGGAACAGTTTCCACTGTAACTGTGCCAATACTGGTTACAAGGGAGCTACTTGTCACTATCGTAAGTCTAAAATGTTTTCCTTTACTTCTGATTGAATTTCTTCACCACAGAACAAAACAAAACAAAAAGAAAAAGAAAAACGAAGTAAAAAATATTTGTACTTATCATTCATAAAATATCTTCATTCATAAAAATACTCATAATTTGGTTTGATGAAAGCCTTGGGAACTCAAAATATATAAGAAAAAAGTTAATTGAAAGTTTAAGTGTTTTTCTTTTACATATTTTGTATTTTATATAAGATAGTAATATCCTGTCTCACCTATATAACTCCACTTTCTGAATCAATGCATCATTTACAAATATAGTAAATTCATCTGTATTCAAGATAACAACTAATATTTATTATTTCTGAGCAGTGGGACTATATTCATGTCCAAAGGTAATCCTGTGCTAAACCTCAAACACAAGTTTATGTAGTTTGCTGGATCAGGAAGTAGATTAGAAGAAAATAAACACATTTTGAAAGCCTAATTTAATGTAACAGCTAATTTCACAGGAAATGCTTTACTTTACAGAACTGCTTTCAGCATATTCTGGGAAGAAGATAAAATAAGTACTTTGGCTTTGTTACATCTCTATAATAAGTAAAACTCCATAGACATTTACTGGTTTGGGGTTTTTTTAATATTTAAGATTGCCCTAATCATCAGGTAAATAATTCTATACTTATATATTGTCTATATAAAATCTATATAATCCTTTTTGGAAGTTTTTACAAAAAGAATGTATGTCTACACAAAAGGGATTTTTTGAGAAATCACTGATTTTAGAAGACTGCCTATTTAAATCTTATTCGTACAAAGTCAACAGTCATAAATAACAGTATTAAGAAAAACGATGTAAAATAGAAAATATGCCAATAGTAGAGATGCTTTTGATGTTGTACCCCATCAAAGTCTAATGAGCCCAAAGTGAAGATGAAGGTGATTTGATTCATTGCCATTTGAAAAGTCACAAATTGAATCATGTGATGATGTCTATGAGGACAGAGGGAGGTTAGGGTTTCCTGATGATTAGGACCTAATGCAAAATGTAATAATATAAGTTACTGAGGTTTTTTTTCAATTGTCAAAAATAATAATGAATAAATTAACTTTTGTCATTTCTAAATTTAGCTAAAAGTATTTACTCTAAGGAACAATAAAATTACATTTGAAAATTGCAAAAATTGTTTATTATGGATATTTCATAGAGTAAGTAAAAGAAATGGTTTGCCTCTTTTTATAGTTATTGCAGTATAATGTCACTAACAATCAGGTAAAAAAATAGAGAGATAACACTATTTTAAAAAAAAGCTTATTAAAAAAAAACTAAAAAAGTAATAGCGCTCATAATTACTTTTCATTATTAATCTAACAGCTCATTCTTTTTGGCAGAATTTTTTAAAGTTTTAATAAATGATAAAATGCAATTGAATTTTGAAATGAAAAATAAAAACATGACTGCTCAAAAGAAATATAATAGTTAAAGGAGAATTTCAATTAATATGTTCAGCTGTGGCATCATCATCATATTTTCTGAAATCCAGTTATAGAGGTGTACTCATACAACTTTTTTTTACTCAGATATATGATATATAAGATGTATCACGGACCTTTTTTTTAGACCTAGACTGATATAAAGTATACATGACAGGGAACCAAGCAGCTGTCATTTTGTCTTTGCTAATTTATTTCTTTTACTGAAATCTCTGACAAGTCACTTGCTTTTCCATTTAAAATGTGAAGAAACTAAGAAGTGTGAAAGCCAAAAAATGCTTACCTTCTCTTTACGTTGCTACAAGAGCAACAACAAAAATTTGACTTGGTTGCGATAGTTAATGGGGATATCCTCAAAATCAGATTACCAGTGTCTAACTGTCTTTCTCCCAGTGGTTTTGAGCTGGAATCACAGAATAAAATGCTTAAAAAAGCACCTTGTGATAGCCACAATAAATAATACGAAATATGCTTAACAATTTCTAATAAAGGCATAGTTTTGAGTGCATGAATTTTTCTTCATTCTTTAACAGAGATAGCACACACCCACCTTCTTTTGCCAATGTCAAGGGTCATGCACATTTCTTTTTTATAATTTCCTGAATAAAATGTAAAATCATGCCATTACATTTGTGATGGAGTATGTTCTTTTACAGCCATCTATGAGCAATCATGTGAAGCCTATAAACACAGAGGGATCACTTCAGGCTTTTACAATATTGATTCAGATGGAAGTGGCCCCTTGGGACCATTTCTTGTATACTGCAATATGACAGGTGAGGTGATAAACTTCCTTAACTTACAGCTGTGACTGTGTGCATGCTCATTATATTGAAACACAAGCTATCAAGTAAGAAGTCTCTGCAGTTTGTGAATTTAATGTAAACATGAACAACCAAATGAAGGTGACTCCTTAGCTCAGGATATTGGGCAAATAATTAGACATAAAAATTAGAATTATAACAGGATTCGGGCTGTGAAGCTAACACAGCATTCCTGTTATGTTTTGCATAAATGGGGCATGTGTTCCATAGGGAGACAATGTCATACTAGTTAATTTTTGGGGAGCTGTTTTGTTTCCACTGAAGTTGCAATCTCTTGAGGATACTTAAGAAAATGAAAAATGTTTTATGAGAAATTTTCTGACTTTCCCCAATAGCCTCCTGAAAAATTTTACTTTAGATCTGGCTTTTGCTGGGAGGAATATTGATATTAAACTTCATCTTTCAAACTGCAATGTGATCTTTTGTAGAATACAAATGCAACCAGTGGGACTCTTGCAGCCTCACCTTTGGACACCCTGTTGCCCTCCTGCAACCTGTTCTTTAAATCTGATCATGTGTATAACTAGAAGCTTTAGATGTCAGAATCTCTTTTTGGACTGCTTTTTAACAAAGCAGTTGATGTTGTCTCTGTATGGTATATTGGTATATGTCCTTTCAACTAAGATTAAATTTAAATGGCTTTTTGAAATTTATTATTATTGGATTTATGACTGTCTCCTTTACTGTTTACTTATCTCCTTTTATTTAAAATGCTTTCCAGCCAAAATGACTGGAAGATTTTAATGTTTTGTTTGACAAAAAAATATTTTTACAGAGTTTTAACTATTTAAAAGAATACATGAATAAGCTAGATTTGAACTGTCTAGGGCTAGATATGCCCTAAGTGTTGAGAACTTAGAAACCATATAGTAAGATTTTGATGTTGACTTGAGCAATTTACCTAGTCTCACTGTGTCAGCTCCTGACTTTGACTTCTACACTTAACTGTGCTTGCTCACAATAATCATGCTTCAGGCTGGCACAGGCTTTTAAAAAGAAATATTCTAGTGTCCTGTGAGACTAAAAGAGACCAAAGAATCATGGCAGAAAGATGACAATTTCTCTAAGTGGGTATAACTCTCCAAGGTACAGTGTAGTGTCTGATTTATCCTTGTGTGTCCATGAACAGCTGTTCCTGTTTTCCTCAGTCACTCCTTATTCACCACATTAAGCAAACATCATTGATCAGTTCTTCATCTCAAGATGCATTCTGACAGGATGAATCTTCTATATTTGTTTTGTTCCCAGTTTCCTCATGACTGGTATTCCCTTTTCTCACCAGAGGCAGGGAAGGCAGATGCCCACATTTCTTACTGCACTGCCTTGCCTTTGACATTCAGGGGGCTCTGTTTTCAGGCAGCTGGGAGGGAGGTGCCATTTCCTGATTTTATTCTTGGAGATCAGTTTCAGACTCAAAAGCCTACAGTTCACACTGGCAATTAAAATGCTACAAACTTTGCAGTTATCTCTTTTTCTTTTTTGTGTAATTTTGAGAGTGTGACAATGAGTTGAATAGCCAAACTGCTTGTCTTCATTTTTAGGTTCAGTGTAATGTTTAAATGTGTTTGTGTCTGTATCTAGCAAAAAAACCCCACAACCACAGAAAACAACACCCAAAACAAAAAAAGGAACCAAAATTTAAATTTATATTTCTAGCTATCTAGTTTTTGACAGTCTAATTACATCCTTAATAAAATTTTATAATTAGAGAAAAAATATTTAATTTTGTTTTTCTGACTGTTATTTATTTTTAAGTGACCATCATTATTTCCTTTTTATGGATATTTTTATATGATCTGCCGCGTGTGGTCTATAGGCAGATGATGAAATAAAATACAGGTCTAGATAGAATACTACTGTTAAAATACCTGAAAAATTATATCAATACTAAAATTTAGAAAAAAAAAAGGTTTTTTTCCAAATTACGCTGGCCATAAATATGCAAAAATACAATGACCATGAATCTGAACTCGACTATCCCAGATAGGCTATAACTGGAAGTCTTGTCACCCCTACCTTGAAAGGGGTTTTGGTCAGAAGAGTGAGAGTTACAGGTTTTGAAAGTGCGAGTTGAAACAGAATAAGCTCATTTTTTTCTTATTCACAGATGAATGATCTTGGCAAAAATACAAAACAGAATTATACGAGCCTTCACCATGCCTACTACTTCATTTTAGGTGGCAGTAATAATTCACCTCTATGTAATCTTAGTTTTGTAGTAAACACAGTATGCACAGGATACTTTTGTTTCTTTCTATAATAGAAAAGGCCTGTAGGCCATTTTCTCATACAGAATAAATTAATTCAAGCTATAAGGATGTATGTAATGTAGGTAGATTCTAGGATAGAATTAATGGTATTTTATGCATTGTTTAAGCCTGGGGAAAGTAACAGTAGTGGACTTTCCTTCTAATCTTTCATTGCAATTTACCAAGTAAACAATATTTTATTTCTGATACAAATATTTGGGTGTCATCACATATTCTTTCCTTATTGAATAATCCTAACTATTTGAATATCTGTGTATCATGGCACAATGATCTACCTATGAATAGAAACAATAAATAATTGTTTTAATTTCTGGTCAATGATTTATGTCTGTTTCATGGGCTCCAAAGGGCTTTTTGTGATCAAAGAAGTTATCTTGAAGTTTGGCAGATTTCATCATACTTGCTCTTTCCCTTACTAACTTGTACAATGCTCTGGTTCTTTATTACTTTTCATGTGTGTTTTGAAAGATGCAACATGGACAATTATACAGCATAACAGCACCAACCTAACCAGAGTTAAAAATGCTAATCGAGAGAACCCACACACTGTGTTTTTCAAGTACTCTGCCAGCCTGGACCAGCTTCAGGCTACAATAAACCTTGCAGATCACTGTGAACAGGAGCTGGCTTACTACTGCAAAAAGTCAAGGCTTTTAGATAAGTCAGGTAAGTAAAGCAGACAAACCTTACTATGTTGTATCATGCCTTAGATTTAACTGGCTATTAAAGTTATTTATTTCTAACAAGGCTGTTGCGTTTTGCTACTATGGAGTTTGAACTACTTCAAGTATTGAGTTCTCAGATTCTATAAGTTACCAAGAGATATTTGAACCAGGAAAATGCAAATGTCAATTTATAATGATTTTATTTCAGAGAATTAAATTCACAAGTTAATTTCTCTCATAAGACTTTTAAATTAACAAAGATTGTTATTAAGATCCTCTCTTGTTTGATATTACAATATTTTTTTTTAATTTTAAAGAAGGAAATAAATTATTACTGAGGAAATATTTTCTTAAAGAGCACAAATTAGCATGTAGATACCAGCAGAAGTTAATGTGTGCACTTAATGTGCATATTGTGAGTACATGACAAAATACATCAATAACATTGAATTTCCACTATTCAGTATAAACATTCTTATAAAGCTCAGTATTTAAAATGTAGATTATTGACAAAATTATAATTGCCTTAAGAAATAAAGAAAGGTCTGATCTACTTAAAGAAAAGTGAAGTTACGTAGTCTATTTAAATTTTAACACTTATTGACACATAGGGGGTGTTAAAAGACTTTACTCTGAGCATCTAAGCACCCCAAATAATGTGGAAGTAAAATTCTCATTGTTTGCTTTTTTTAAAAAAACTAAGTGAAATTTTTTGGCTTATGCACCAGAAACTCTTAAGATGCTAAAAATTTATTCCTTGGCATTCTTTCCTACTAAGCAGAGAGAATGCCTCTGTGTGAAGCCCTCTCTACTTCTGTGTCTAAGCTCTTTCTTTATACATTCTTTCTCCCTAATTATGGCATGGACATCTCTGGGCTTCTTAGGCTGGTGTTTGCTCTTAAAAGAATATCTGTTTGAAAATACCCCCACAGCAAAAAAAGTAAACCTGCTGCTTAAGTTGTCCCAGTGAACCTTCTTTTTAATGTAGGCTCCAGATTAAAGCCATGTTTAGATGTTCAAAAGCCTGGTTTGCCTCAAGTAGAAAGTTTAAAGACCTTTTTTTTTTTGTCCATGGAGATGGCATGTAAATGTGCTTAAATAATTCACCATCTGTATTGTTATGCTGTTTATATTACATATAGCTGCATATTTATACTATGCATATAAATGTGCTAAAATAAATGTTTTAGAAGTGTGCAATCATTTGTGATTTAAAATTTAGTTTTGAATTATACGAATGAATAGGTGTGAAAGAGACTTATATGAGACTTCTACAAATTTTCTAAAATCATTCTTTTTTTAAACTCAGTTTTTGCTGTTTATAATCTTCAGTAGGTATGCCTGAGAAATAGAAAATTTGATGATGGTTACATAATATATTTTTTGAAACATATAGCCCACCTAGTAATTCTTAACTGACTGTATTTCAGGAATGCATTGTATTCAATAAGCCTGGATAGCATTTGCAAATGTTCTCGTTAAAGAAGTCATTGGTTAATACGTTTATGTGATCATTATGAAGAAATCTCTAAGCATTTTAATTAATGGCTTTGTTTTGCCTAGGAGTACTTTCTGCCAAGGCAGTGAAAAAATCTGGGCTAATCAGTATGAACTTGCAGGATTTCACTAAATACTTTCTCCCCACCCTATTGTATGAACAAATAACTGAGACCAGCTTTAAAATATACCCCAATGTCCCTAGGGAAACATTGGGAATGCTAATTCATTGCTACAATATAAGCCTAAGGCATGCTGTTAAAGCAGCAGAAATAGTCTGCTTTTTACAGTCTTAGTTGCTAGAACCTTTTTAAAGTGTTGTCTGATAAATTATTTATACATAGTCTTTGGGTTTTTTTCCTCCTGTGATAGTTTGCAAACACAAACACTGATATTGGACATTGATGCCATTATGCAAGCTTGACTTTTCAAAAAACTGCTCACACTGTTTTTTGGCCTGCTGGGCTGACAGTTGTGTGGTAATGAATGCAGTCAATATGTTCACAATCTGAAAGATTGTCAGTGTAACAGAGGTCTTATCTAACAGTGAGGTTTAATAAGCAGTGGCACTTGTAAGCAAACTTGAGAGTAGAATAAATTCCAGCTTCTTCATGGGGGCCAGGTGCTGAAAATGGAGCTCCATCCAAAGCAAAAAAAAAAATGCATCTGTAAGAAATTCTATAGTTTAACAGTACTTGGCTGCTTCTCATGCCTTGACTTTCATGCCTCCATTGCCTTCTTCCATCTCATTTGAGATGGTTTATCTTTATGCTTCATATCATTTAGCTATCATGTGTTCTGTAGATATTTCTTCTGTTGCTATGCCTGCTTGGCAATATCTTTCAGCTTATTCTGCAGTACTGTAACATTAAAGAAACTAAGTTTTATCATTTTGCTACAAACAATGCTGACTGGATGCACCAAGGAGAAATGTAATAGTCCTGGGCAACCTCACTGCTGCTCATCAGATATATCAGTTTTATTATGGGATCACCATTAACACGATTTCTGTTGTCTCTGAGTACATAAATTCCAAATTTGGTGTCCATGACCTAACAGCTGTCTTTGAGCATTTCTGATTAACACCGTTACTCAGCTGCTTAAAGCTCATCACAGATAAGGATGGTAGTACTCTTGGTAGTGGGATGAGGGCATTTCTGTGACTTCCCTAATTCCATTTCTGGTGGTTCCAACATCTGAAATTGATCTTTACTAGGGAATATAAACTATCCTGATTTTTAGGATGATTATATATCCGCTTTCATGGATCATTTTAAAATGAATTATATAAATTGACTGCTTAAGATAAATTATTCTAATATCATGGCTGGCTGAATTAGGTACTATGAGTTCTCTTTTCTACTAATGCAAGCAAAAATCTGTGACAGTCACTTAATACATGATAATGAAGTATTAAAATGAATAATTACTTATCAAGTAAAGGTGGAAATTTATTTTTCCTGGTCATTTAAAGGTTTTAGAATTGAGCAGGGTTTTTTTTCTTCTTAAACTTTTTGAAAATCATTTGGATGGGAAAGCTGAGAGAAGTAGGAGACAAGACTAGGCATTGATTTTCTCTAACCTTTTTAGATGGGATGCCACTGAGCTGGTGGATTGGAAGAACCAATGAAACTCATACTTACTGGGGAGGTTCCTTGCCTGCTGTACAAAAATGTGCTTGTGGACTGGAGGGAAGCTGCATTGATTCCCAGCATTACTGCAACTGTGATGCAGACAGAGATGAATGGTGACTTTTTACTGTTCATTATTTGCAATAGTTTTTTTATTAAAAGTAAATAAAGGAAATATACAGGCCATAGTGCATTTACAATACCAAGGCAGTTGGAAATCTAAGTTGCCATAGTGTCATCTGATCCTTTGCTATAGAACATAATTTTTCACAAAGTTATTGCTATATACATTAAGTATTATTGCTAATTCTTTCACTCTTAATTTTGGGGAAGATTTAATTTTACAGATACTTTCTAGTCTTTAGTATATTGCATGTTATAGATTAAGATAATAGTTCTGTAGCACAGCTTCAGTTAGTTTTGGACTACTGAATGTAATTAAAGTTAAAATAAAATGGTCTGTGAAGAAAGTTAATTTTTAGCATAATTTATAACTACACTTTAATGTTTAGACTTTTTAGATACTTTTTTTTTTCATCCACAATATAGATAAAGAAACTTAGTACTCTTGCTTTCAGTGAAGCAAACCACTCATATGGAGTCCTATTCAAAGAGAATAAATGGATTTCTAGGGTGTACATATTCCAATTGTGCCTAAAATTCTCTGGTGCAATTTACAATAACTTTCAAATAAATAATATAATGAATGAGTTCTTGTTGTAGCTTCAGATCTGAACCTGACTTTTCATTTAGGAGGATCAGATACACCGTTCTCAACAATAGCTCCAATGCAGCACAGGATTTGATAAAGTAGAGAGACTTTTCAAATGAAATCGCTTCTGTTAAAGAAACTTATATGGTCTTAAAATTATGAAGTTAATTTAACTTCAGTAAATCAAGTTCAGTGAGTACATTAATATATGCATTTAAAAAAATCAAGCAATATATATTTTTTTTCTTCTGAAGGTCCATTCTTCCTTTAAAGGAGCTACTACTGAGTTGGGTTGCAAAATGCTTGTTTCCTTAACATGATCAGGGAATTCAACACACACAGAAATGAAAATTCAAGAGTTGATGGAAGAATAATTCTTCACAAGCTTCAAAGATTTCTGGAGAAAATAATTTCCTATTACAGTAAAATTCACAGGGTGATATCTGCAACATTTATTCCAATAAAGAGACTAAAAAAACAAATACAACACTAAGAATTTCTCTGTTATTATGCTGTATGAAAATAAAAACAATATTAGCTTCTAACACAAAAATAAGGTGTTAAAAAATGAAGGCATTTTGAGAAAAAATAGCGCCATTTCTCAGACATGTAAAATATTCTTGCTCAGTTTTGTCATTAATTCAATCCATGCTCATATATATAGGTTAATTTTTAATGGTAATATATTTGTAAATACAGTAGATGAGAGGATTACATGCATGTCTTCACATGCACATCCACTTCTAGTAAGTTGCTAAGATGTTTATGAGTGTATTAAAATGCAAATATAATGACTTTGGGTTTATATTTCTGTTTGCATCCACTTTTAACATTTATAAGTTGAGATTCTTCCCAGTGACTCCCGTGTTACAGCAATTATGTGTACACTAATTTTGGTTATTGTGGTTAGCGTTGTATTTGGTTTCCTAGAGACTAAAGTTTTGGATCAGTTGACTAGGTACTGTTCACTGGGTGGACAAGTAGGTAGCAGCTATACTTGAGAAGCATTTTGAGCACAGAGAACAAGTTACACACCGTGGTTTTGAAACATTGGTTTTGACAGTCTACTTTTATAGTGAAATCTGTCTTGTTTCATGCACTGGACATAGATTTAACTCTCCACTCCTTATTTGAATGATCAAAATCTTTAAGTCTCTGGAACCCCAGAACAGAATTTTTTTTTTTAATCTGATCCTAAAAATGTAAAATTTGAAAATCCCCTCCACAGAAGATAATTTCTATTCAGTTTCCTTTTGTTTACAGCATCATTTTACTGAAGCAAACACTTCTGGTTTTTTGAGGGATTTTCTTTCAATTCTAAATTAGAAACCTGCAATATCACACCTCATGAAAAATAAATATTAAAAAAAAACACATTTTGCATTCCTCAGTTTGCTAAAAAAATGTCCATTTGTTTGCACTCTGCTCCAAAACAGATAAACAGAAATTGTTTTTTTCAGAAGAAGGATGATGATGATGAGAGGAAAGGGGGGGGGGGGAAGTCATTAATTTTATCAAATATGAGGAATTTATGCTGTTTATTCTGAACTATTTGCTTTGCCCTTAAAGAGAAGACTAAACCATGAATGGACTGAATGGACAGATTGAATTTTCCAGAATAGTCCTGAGTAACTGAGCATTTCCATGGATTTAGAGAGAAGAATTTTAGGGCCAAAACCGGTTATGAAATTTAAAAATTGAGTTCTGGCACTAAGTCAACAAAGATTTTAAACAAGGAACTGGGTCTAATATTACAAGTAATACATGTGTGCTCAGAGTGCAAATATTGCTTACTTTCTTTTCTGTTAGTTTCACAGTTGTAGTATATACTGTTTTTCCTGTAGTCAGCATGACTTTATACTTTTCTACTTGGATTTTTTTTAAACTTGTCAAGGTGGGAAAAACTTAGACTTACTTGAAAGTTATATTAAGCCATTAAATACTCCATATTGATGACAGAGTCAATTAAAGATACAGTATGTCTTCAGCAACATAAATTCATTTGCAAATTTGACTTGAGCAAATTCATTGACTTAGGCAGCCAGTTAAGTTTTCATTTATTTTCTCACAGTTGTTTTATGGTTACAACCATAAAACTACCCACTTCCAGTGAAATTCTTTTAGCCCTGTCAAATGAGCCCAATATTAACTCCAAAGCATATGTATCTATTTACAGTTTTTTGTATCACACATATATATACATATTTAGGCAGGCTTTTTTTTTTTTTTTAATTTTCTTTCCTTTTCCTCAGGAATGTGTCAATGATAATGAAATATTTACTGGAAAGACTTAGGAGAGATGTGGCTTTCATTTTACCTTTTCAGGACAAATGATACTGGCTTCCTCTCCTACAAGGACCATCTACCAGTAACTGAAATTGTGATCACAGATACTGACAGACCAAACTCGGAAGCTGCTTACAAACTGGGGCCTTTGCTTTGCCGTGGTGATAGTAAGTAACTACTGAAGAGTCTTGCTAAACAGTGATGCATTTTTCCTGCAATAAGTTTTAAATGCTATTTGTTACAAACCTAAGATAAACTTCTATAACAACCTTAGCCAGATCTTTTTGGAATTAGAAAATAAAAACTTGCCATCATCCAGTGCAAACCATTGAAATAGTAAACATTTATTTTTCATTATATGCATCAATAGTGAAAACAGAAAGTTTTATGATAATTTAAAACAGATATTTTGGTTTACCCAACTGGAATGAAATTATGAATAAATCATTGCATGAAGGGGAATCTATAGCTGGTTACCATATCTTGGGGACATACCATTCACTAGCTGTGTATGCATCCATCACAAAACATTACACATATTATGTCCTCTGAATTTTTATGAATCTAGGAAAACAATACTATAGGAGAGTAATTCAGTGTATGCAACATCTACATGGAAATTTTCAAATACATGTAGAAATTTAAATATTATAAATTTAATAATAATTCTAGATTTACATTCTGAATACATATATGTGGTAACCAGAATAATATGCTTGTGCAAAATGTTATTGAAGATTAGTGGTGATATTTCTGTTTTAATAATTTCCTATTCAGTGGAAAAAAGAATGTGTTTGGCTTATATTCAATGGTAAAGTATTGCACAAAATTCTATGTCTGCTGCTGTCTGTAATCAAAAATTAGGAATTAGGAGAATTAGGAATTGCTGTAAACAAGCCCAAAGAATTCAAGAGTTGGATGGGCAATATTTGATATACAGTTGAGTAAATTATTACAATATTCAGTTAGGTTAATTTCCTTAAATCACGTTATGAGTTTTCATGAATTTACCTGTTATCTATATTAATTATTATATTTAATATATAATAGGTACATTATTTAGAGATATTTTCATTCTTTATGTGATTTTCCTCTTTAATAATATGATGTCATGTTTGGTTTTCAAATTTTATCAATTTATATGAGTAAGAGAAATATCAGTAAAGTACTGATTTATACTCTTAAGTGCACTCAGAAAAGCACATAGATAAAAACATATAAATTAGTATCTATTAATTTTTGTGTCATCTCTGTCTTTTTAGGGTAATTATGCCTGGAAGATTTGTTAACAGATGTATGTTTCAGCACTGCATTGTAATTTTCTTATGAAAATTCATAAGACTTAAAAATCCCGTGGGGTTCTTTCATTTCACTAGTCTGACAGCTGATTGTGAACTGATCATCTGTCCTACATATCATGGGGCTATGATATAGTATTATGGTATAATTCAGAGTGATAGGACCTACAGAGGTCTCCTGCTGACAGCAGGATTAGCCATGAGTTGAGGCCGCTGGTCTCTCAGTGCTTTGTCGAATGGGTGTTTGAAGCATCCAAGGATGGACCCTGCACTGCTTCTCTGGGCAGCTTCTACTGCTGCTTGGCTGTCCTCAGTGAGAATTTCTTTTTAGTTTTATTAAGCTTGAAACTCTGAGCTTTCACCATAACCACTGTCTTTTATACTCAGCCCTTACACCAATGCAAAGACCCTGTATCTGTCTCTTTGATGATTTCCCCTTAGGTTTTGGAGTCTGCTATCAGGTTCCCCAGAAAACCTTTTCCTTTCCCAGGCTGAAGCAACCCAGTTCCTCCTGCCTGAAGGGCAGGACAGGTCCTCCAGACCAGAACATTCTGGTGGCCTCTGCAATACTTGCCCCTGCGTATTAATGTTTTCCTTTACTAGGGGAAAGGAAATTGGAAGCCCAATGCAGGTGCTCTCTTACAAATGTAAAAAGGATTAACCACCTCCCTCAGTTGACTGGCCATGCTCACTCAGCCTGTGGTGCAGCAGATCTCCATTGTGGTCATGGACAGTGAAGTGAGTGCCAAGGACAGCAATGAAAAAAAAAACATTAGAGCTTGTGTAGTTATAATTACTGGGGGGAAGAATTTCAATTCCACTACTCACTAAGTTCCCAAATATTATTAATTACATAACCTGACCTCAGACGTGACAAATCTTAAAACATGGAAGTCAACCAGCTTCCCAGGAGTAATCTCTAAAACATACAGACAGCTTTGACTCCTACTGACCTCCCTGACTTCATTTGATGTTTGCTTAGTCTGGGTGGTTGAATTGCTGCAATATTTCACACTGATGATGAATGATCACAGTATTTCTAGATAAGCTATGATAGAGAATTGTAAAATATCATTGAGAACAAGCACAAGAACTCAGTCTGAATGTCAGAGAAATATTCATCTAATGCCATACAACATTATAATATTTGACTTCAAAAAAAAGCAATTTTGAACTGAAACAAACTTGGTGAAAAGATTTTAGACTATAACAGTTCATGGTCATAATGCAGAAAAAAACTTGAAATAAGAACACTGATTGTTAAATAATACAATTTTTCTTAGTCATTTACATCATAAAGACAGTATAAGAAGGCATGCATTTAAGGAGGTAAGAACTAAAATTTGAGAAAACAAAATTTCTGAAGGAAAATAATTATGTCATAGATTTTGGCATAAACCAAAGTGTTAAGAAAACAACAAATCCTGAGTGTATATAATAAAATATCTAAATACAAGTTATTATATAATTTGTGGCATGTTATATATATATATATATATATATATATATATATATATATATATATATGTATGTATGAAAAATATTTTATAATATATATTACCCATATTATGAAATTATATTATATGTATATTATGTGTTATAATAAATACTGAGTACAGGACTTCATAGATTTTCTTCCCATGTTCATTGTGTGTCAGCAGAGAATTTTGTAGTGAACATTTTCTTTTATATTCATTTTTACAGTTAACATAAAGAGCTATGACTTGCAGTAATTTCTGAGTTCTACATATTAATTTTCACACCAGACAAAACTGATGAATTTCATACTTTTGCCAGGCCACTGCTTCTAGCAATTTGAAGCTGCAAAAGGAAAGAACACCATTATTAAGACTTTTTTTCCTAATCTGAGGTTGCTGACACCCATGAGGATCTAATTAAATGCACTTTTAATGACGTTTTTCTTTGGATAGGTGAAGAATGAAAAAAAGGTCTAGTGGCAAATACCCATTTTTCAGAAGTGCTGTCAAAAAAGAAAGAATAGATATTCTTGGACTCACAGTGTGATTTGAATATTCTTCAAAGAGATCGTTACAATTTTTGCTTCTGTCACTCTCCAGAACTAAATGATACAATTGTATTTCACAGGAGACATCCTTTATTAAATAGGTTTCTGTTCTGATAGACATAAGTTTTTCAGAATAACTGACTAGCATACCATGTAAAAACATGGAGGAGAACTTTTACTGATATTTATAATACCTTCAGTACTTCATTAAATGACTCAAATCTAAAAGATCATAAATTCTTATTCTATTCCTTATGGGACAGTTACCTGGGAGGAAAATAAATGGGCAAAATAAAGTAAAACCATGAATGATTGGTTGAATTGAATTGCCATAAACCATGAAGTCCACTGACAAACTTTCTAATTAGATTTACTTATTTGATTGCCTCCAGAAATTCATGTATCGAATGCAGTCCAGCAGAAATTGGCTATTGTTGCTTTTTTTTTTTTCACTCTTTTATTTAATATTCCATTTGTGTACTTCTTTATTTTAGGTTTTAAGGATTGATCTCTTCAAGGAAGTATGTTACTTACAAGGAAACCAAACCATATTAGTCAGAGTAAGACAGGAAAGAGTTGCCTTTTGTAAGAAAAAAAATCCAAAAGTAATATATATATAAATGCAGTCTATTTGATAAAAGTTTTTTAAAATTGCATTCAGATGTTATTTTTTTTTCAGCATTTTGATAAAGATACCTCCCTAAGTTTGTAAGATGCCATGGTACAATGAAAGTACTAAAGATATTCTAGAAGAATATGGCCATTTAAAAAACATTAGTCAGTAGTATTTGGTGACACTAACACCACACATATCAGTCACGCTTACAGTTTTCTGTCACCTTCAAAATGTATAAAATTATTTATGACTGATTTGTTTCTATAATTCCTTTTCTTCTCTACAATACGTTTTAATAAATTGTATGGTATGACTGCTGGTATCAGACTGAAAAATACATCTAAATATAGTGAAAGTTAAGATCAATGTATATACACTGAGCAGGGTAACAGGAAAGATTTTGAAGCATATGAGAATGAACAAAACCTTTGGTACATTAATAGATAGAAATTCTATGGTCTTCATGAAAAAAAGGAAAGAGTTATCTTAATTATTTTTGTCATTATTGAAGTAAAAGCTAGATGTTGAATAAATTCCAATAGAGTCAGTTGATGGGAGTAGATTAAAAAAAAAAACACCACACCCTTCTGTGTTGGGTCTTTTTTATTCTTGATCTTTTCATTACAAAAGATCAGTGGACATATTCTGATTTATTACTATGAATATCTAGTGAGAACATAAAAATAAATCCAAAATACTGAAATATAGCTAATGTACCAAAATTATGTGTATTAAATGGGTGATTATAATCTGCCAGCATAAGATGAATTCTTGGGCAAAAAACCAAAATTGATGATATAGATCTTAATAAAAAATAATATAAAGATACTATCATGCATTGTAAAGATAATATATCATTCAGCAGGAATTTACATTAATAAGGATAAAGGTAGTACTGGTGAAGACAAAGATAGACTCTAATAAGGTATTTGATGGAGTCTTGTTTACTTGGCTGTATTAAAAAAAAGTTGAATTTACTAGCATTTACAATGCTAGCATGTAAATGCAAGCAGAAAATCCATTCAATGTGAGTTCTCTGACATTTAAATGAAGAAATAAATAGTGTGAGCTTTGAATGTAACACAGACTAACTTTATCAACCACTCATGATACCTTCATTAAAGCAGTGAAGTAAATTTCTAATTTAGCAAAAAAAAAAAAATCTGGTTCATCTCTCTTCATTACATGAGAAATCAGGTCATGTATTTTATTTTCAGTAGCAGAAGTATTTGTAAACCATGTGTTCAACTATTCCCCCTTATTTAGCATTATATAAATTAATATTAATTCATATTTGTTCTAACCTCGGTCTAATCAACATTGTTTGGGTCCTCTTTGCAGCTTCCTGCATAATCAAGAGGTTTAATACAAGTCTGTGATTACCATTTTACATACATGAAGAGAATGTAAGGTTAAAGGATAACATTAAAGAAGTTGAGGTTCATTTTTCAGTGAAAGCATTTAAATCTCTTTGCTGAATTTGGGCATAATCTGAGGTGGTGTGTTAAAAGGAGTTTCATAGTAGAAGAAATTTCAAATAATATTCTTGAAAGCAGGAAATAAAATCAGGAAATTATTTAATGTTTGGGATTTGAAGCTACACTGTCTGTGAATACATACATAAACACAAACTGACAGTAAAAGCATTTGTGAATTCTCCATAAATTGACATTTTTTAGACAAGAACACATTCAGGGAATTTATATAGACCATGTTATATCAGACATTGAACTAGATGATCACAGCTTTCTCTTCTGTTTTTTTGTCTATGGATCTTACAGTTAAAAAAACCTCAAAGTACAAAATATACTGTTTGGCAACATAAGATCTTTCTTTTCTCTGCTTCAGCATTCAACATCCCTTCCCTGCTGACAGAATGAAAATGCAACTGTTAGAGATATCACAAGGAATTGATAAAATGGTGAACTGATTTCAGTTTTGAGTAGGAACTTGAAGAGTGCAGCAAATTGCAATTGCATGATTGAGAAAGCTAATTTATCTGTCTTGTTATTTTTCCCTTTTTTTTTTTTTTGTTTTTTTTTTTTTTTTTTTTTTTTTTTTTTTTTTTTTTTTTTTTTTTTTTTCAAGTTGGTAAGGCTAGTTGATATATTCCAAAGACGTATGTATATTTTTTCAATAAAAAAAACTTCATGGATAATTTATAAGAATAAGACATTCCTTCATTTTACTCATAGAAAGACTGCAGTCTTAGATAAAATGCTAAATAATATTGATTTCCTAACCAAATGATGGTTGGCAGTTCCAGAAAACTAAATGAGACATTGTGAGCCAGATGCTATAAAGCTAAGGAATTCTTTCCCCACCCTATTTAAAACAATATAAGATACTTTGTAATATACTTTTCCTAAGCCTATATTTAAGCTGCTTTATTGATAGAGTGTCTTTATATTCATAAATTACACAGTTTTCAGAACTGAGAAAAAGAAGAGTTAGACAAGAAAAGGCACTAAATTAAGAGAGGAAAAAAATAAAACTTCCTATCCCTGCCCTCCCCCAAGGACTCAATTTTGATTTACAAATATAATTTAAATACTTAAATGAAGCTAATTGTATCATTACTTTACTGGACGGTTAATACCCCTATTGCCTCTCTTCTAATTGCTGGCAATGTTGTAACAATTTTGTATAAATTACAGTATTAAATTTCCTATTGTATTTGAATCACTGGTAACAGCCAGCCCATTATTTTTAAATAGCTGTGATACACAGCTGTTAGTCACAACAATTGTGAAGTTTGCTCTGTGGGAGCTATGACCTGACACAGCTGAGGAACATGGGCTTAAAACTGATCCCAATATGTAAGGCTGCTGCTTTTTTCTGGCACTTTTCATAGGTTGGTAACTTCAAGAAGCCCATAAGGCAGCACAGGAGAGCAAGGTGAAAAACTGTGTGTTCCCCTCTCAGCCCGAGCCATCTGTTCACAGCTGCTTTACCATGTAAATATTGTCCCAGTGGCTGCTTTGACTTGTGATACCTGGCAGTATTCCTGAGCGTCAAGAGTCACAATGAGCAATTGCCAGAATATGTGTGAAAATCCTGCCATGCTGCTTTTCTAGGGTTTTCTAGGTTTAGGTTCCAAACCCTGCCAAAAATGCTAACTCATTCCTCTGCTGGAATGAGGGAATGGACTTTAATTTTGCTTCACTGGCTGTGGGTTAGGCCTCCATATACACTGTATTATAGGGTTTGATTTTGCAGGGAAGAAAGAAATTTTCATATTTTTTTTCTTCCCCCTTCCTAATCCTAAAAGCAGAATGTGACTGGGTCAAAAATTACAGTTCTACATAACTGTTAGACTGAGATCACAACATTATCAGGAGAATATTCAGTGGGCTTGATCAATTAGCTAAGAAAGTATTGAATGTCTTATTTGGTTTAGAAAGCAATATAGTTTAGTAAAGAAATACTGATATATCTGTAAAGATTCAGATTAACAAGGTGCTTCGAGTTGAACACAATAAATGAAGATTACGTCCTTATTAGAAGAGGGTGATATTAGAGATTTTACATCAGCATTTAAAAAATTAATAACAAAACCTTGCAAATTATGATTGAATGCTTACTTAAAAAGAAATAAAACCAGGAAAATATCTAACATAATTTATTAAATTTTGCAATTTATTTCTTTGATTTCTTCCACAGGAGATATTTGTGCTGCATCTTTGAGATATCTGGTAAATTTCACTGGACTACAATGATAACAATTCTCTTTTCCTCGTTATGTAAAATAAATACTTAACAACTCTCATAGTTACTGCTTGTACTAACTAATACTAGAGTTGTAGAGGTTAGAAAAGATCTTGAAGATGAAAGGTCTTAACTGTCAGCCTCGCACCACCCCCATGTTCACTGTTGAACCATGACCTCAAGTGCCATACCTACAAGCTTTTCGAACATTTTCATCCACTCTGGGAAGTCTGTTACAATGCTTTACAACCCTTTCAGTGAAAAAAAAAAAAAATAATTGTCATATTTAATCTAAACCTGAGGGCATTTCTTCTCAGCCTGTCACTTGTAACCTGGGAGAAGACACTGCACTCTGCCTCACTACCCCCTCCTTTCAGGCAGCTGCAGAGAACAATAAGGTCCCCATGAGCCCCCTTTTCTCCAGGCTAAAGGGCTCCCTCAGCCACACTACTTTAATGTAGGTATAACACTTCACCCATAGCTGCTATGTTTGCTTACTTCATGAAAGGATATATCAGGCCATAAACGGACTTTCCAGCTGAGATGAAATTAATTATGTTTCCTAATAATTGTTCTTTTGTTGCCTCAGCCAAGCACCTTTATTCTTGATGAAACATTATTCTACATTCCCAATAATGCCTACAATTTTGTGTTATGAGCTAATAGGGAAGCTTCTGTGGATGTGAGACTCTCTGAAGACTGCAACCATTCTTAAACCTGGGAATATTCTTTTGTTTATCAGTTATAAAACTTACACTAGAAATGTTAGATAATGCTGTATCTATCATCCTTTCATTCTGTTAACCAGGAACATTTTGGAATTCGGCTTCCTTCAACACAGAGGCATCCTACCTGCATTTCCCCACCTTCCATGGAGAATTCAGTGCAGATGTCTCATTTTTCTTTAAAACTACTGCATCCTCAGGAGTGTTTTTAGAGAACCTGGGAATTCAAGACTTCATAAGGATAGAGTTACAATGTAAGTAACATGACTGATGGTGGTTTTGTTGTTATTGTTATTATTATAAAAATGGGATTGTATTTAATGTAAAGGGGGAGTATTTAAAAACTGTCCTCTACCTTTATTACTTCTACTACTACTACCAGATCATTATCATTATCAGAAAAAAACACAGCACTGAAACTAAACAAGTATCCATTTGAGGAAATTTTCTGCCCCAGGGGTTTCTTAATCTAAGAGCACAGCAATCAGCCCCTGACTGCTAAAACTGTTTCTACTTCTTGTGTTCAGTGCATCTCTACCTCCTAATTCTCTTCCTCCAAATTTTAATACCAGTCATTATATGTGGCTGATGGAAGGCTCACTAAATCACCATGTGTGACTCAGACCTCTTGTGCCACAGTATCTTGAGTCACACAATCTTATCTTTTTTCTTTTTGTTTTTTTTTTCTTCAATTTTTTTTCATTTTATTTGTGCAGACATAAATGCTTAGACTTACAAGCAGAAATAAATTTTTGTTGCATAAGAGAGAATTAAACATCCCACTAAATCCAACATAAGATGACCAACATAAAATGAAACCTTTATCTTAGTTGACTCAATGTATTATTGTTATATTGCTCATTATTGAAGAGGAGAGTATTTGAACGGATAAAGCATTTTTTCATTAGACTTTTGAATTAATTTTAAATGTCACATTAATTGAAAAGTCTTCTTGCCTGTGACTGAGAGTTCTCTAAAATTGTTTCATTAGAACAACTTTTATCTTGGGGTTAGACAATTCCTCATTTTTTTCCAAATCAATTTTGTTATCAGGCTCCACTATTTTCTAGAAAAGAGTGCAAATAAATATATACGTTGTATTGCAAAATATTGCCATAGAAACATTAAATATTTTTTATTAAGAAATAAAATATTCTTTTTTCTTGGGGGGATGTTTTGCCCATGTTAACATCTTATGTTAATGAAACAAACCTTCTGTAGTTAGTTAAATTATATAATATTGTGTAATTGGTTTTCATCATGTCAAGATATAGTGCTGTATTTGAAAACTACTGTTTTCAACATTGTTTTTCCAGGTTTTTGGCAGTCTGTACTGCCTTCTGTTAAAGCTCTCTGAGCAGTTTAAAGGACAGCAGCATTTTAAACTCAGTGTCATGAAATACAGAAAATGTACTGGATCAGCACTTCAGTGGGGGCTCTCTGAAGCAATGATGATAGTCTTGTCTGATAAATTATTTTTCATTTTCAAAATAAACAGTTAAATCATGGAAACAGTTAAATCAAGGAATGGTTCTGAGAACTGAATTTATTCAGACATTTGTTAGAAGACTGTAAGTTTTTCTTCAGAATAATAATACTTATGTCACTTGTCCCATTCATTCTCAAGCACAAAAACCACTGCATACTTATGGTCTTTAAATGACTTTATATGAATAGGGAGGTGTGACAGAAAACAAAACAGTGAATTGGTCTGTAATTTAATCATCTAAAAAAGCAAAATTAACTAACTATTGTGTAGAATATAGAGATATTTCCTCATAAATATCCTAATTTGTTGCATAGACAGACCTATTATTTTTTGTTTATCAGATAAATTTAAATGGAGGATTTTTTGTAGTGAACCTAAAATTGTCTGCTTTTATTGTAGAAAATATCAATCAGAAATGAGCAATATATATTTCCATCAAGAGTACCTGTCTCAGAAAAAAAATCAACTTGAGCATTTCATATGGTATAAGATGATTTATATTCATCAAAATCTAACTCCACATCCTTTATAATAAATTTGAATGTAAATTACCAGCCTACACTTATGTTCTATTAATAGTTTCAAATAAATTCATATATTTTATTTATTTATTTATGGGGTAGTGATCTTTAGACATTGAAATCTAACTTTAAACAAACAAAAAAAAAATCAGATCCAGAAATATAATACAAAATGTGAAATGGTTTTATGAAGTTGCAAACACCATAGTGCATATGTGCATACATTCTAGAATACTCTTGCAAAAATGGTTTGTCCATCCTAACTGTATTTTAAAAAAAGAGGGCAAGTAAATGAAGATACTTCTCTTGAATAAGATATTTGATCCCTTATTTTTGTTTTGCAATAAGTTATAAATGCATGTTGAACTTCTTCCTGATTTACTTATTTCCTACAGAAATATTTGTTGAAAGCAACAAAGCTGATTCAATGCTGAAGGGTACATTCTGCTAAATACTTTCAGGACCAAAGTTACATGTTCTTCGGTAGAAATTCTTTTTAGCCAGTCAAATAGACTTTCTGTTGCTTTTTTTCTCCTACTGTGTGATTGTTTTTCATTTTTTTTTCTTTATCCCTCTATAAGGGGAGAGTGAGTTCTCAGCGTTTTCTAAATAAAATACATTTATCCTAAAATTAATTTATTTTACTTAGAAACTGTGTTTAGATATCAATTATTTATTATTATTCTGTAAAGTGTTGATTCCTAAGCAGAAGAGGTAATTTATTACAAAAGGCATTCCATTTATAAATTGACTGCACAATACACTTTATTTTATTTAGTAAGTTAAACAGTTTATGTATTTCCCATTTTGCTTTGCTATCTTAGGTTCAACTATTATAGAAAAATACTTTATAGCAACAAGATTTAGGGCTTAAGGGATTGCAAATGTGTGACATTACTCAGTCTAAAGGTTGGCCAAAGTTGATTCAAATATTTAAAAATGTCTAATGTATTTTTAAAAGGTGACAAGAAAGTTAAAAAAACTGCATGAACTATTTTTTCCACTTCAATTAATTTATCTTTAAAATGTTGTTTGAAGCTCATCTAATTCCTGGATTCCTAATTTTTTTACTTTTCTGTCAGAATTCAAGGATGCAAATAGGAAGATTTTTTTTGGATCTAGCAAATAGGAAGATTTTTTTTGGATCTATGGTATCTTCTCTACAATCCTTTAATTAAATCCTTAATAATACAAACTTACAGCTATCCATCATCTAGGGAATACTTTTTTTCATATATGATTGAATATATGAAAGAAAGACTTTCAGAGAAAATATTCACAATTTTCAGATCTTCAGTATTCTGGTATATACCTCTTTTTTTATTTTGACCTGCAAAGATTCCGTGATTTTCTAGGCAAAATATGAAACTATGCAATGTGAAATTTGCTCAGAGAAAAACTCAATTTAAACTCAGTTTAATTTTATAAACTACATCAAAATCTTCCCTCTGATGTTCATTGAGACTATATGAATAAATAACAAAAGTGAATAGGCAGTAGAAAATGCTGGTTGGATCATAGCAGTGATAATTTAAACATAGTTAACAACAGCAATCAATTAGCATGTAATCAAGAGATGCATTTCATCCAAACTGCAAAATCGCAAAGCTAGCACATTTCACTCTTTCTTGACTATTCTGCTCTCCAGGGGCCTGCAAACTGATTGGCTTCCATGCGGTGCATAAATCATTGCTCTTGCTGTCAGTGAGTGTGAAGAATGAGCTGCAGGGGCCCCTGAAGTAAATTCTTCCTCTGAAACAGTCAGTCTTATTCTATGAAATTGTAGGCTAAACCTTAAAGTAACTTGTTCTGCTATTAATTATTTTGTGACCCAATTAATTATGAAATAATTCAAATGTCTGCTACTCCTATCCTCTTTCTAGCTCCATCTGAAGTGGCTTTTTCATTTGACGTGGGAAACGGACCTAGCGAAGTTGTAGTGCAATCACACAATTCCTTAAATGACAACCAATGGCATTATGTGAAGGCTGAGAGAAATGTCAAAGAGGCTTCCTTACAAATAGATCAACTTCCTCAAAGATCTCACAGTGCTCCACCTGATGGACATATCCGCTTGCAACTCAACAGCCAGCTTTTTGTAGGTAGGCCATCCACAAAATATTTCCTAATGATCATCATAAAAATAAGAAAATGCTGGGGGGAAGAGGGGAAGGGAAAGTGTTGTCAACCAGATATTTTGAAAACACTTTGTATGATGATATGAAAGACTTTGTGAAAAATCCGTGCAGATATTCACTACTTTGAGACTATAGATCTCAAAGCGCATTGGCCAATAGTTACTCCAGGTCAGGATTTCAAATTTCTTGCTTATTTTGATATTTGCTTGAAGGACCAAGGATCCAAGGATCTGGATTTGTGTCCTTTTTTAAGAGGATGTAATCTACTAAAACAAGTTGTGCCATTTCTGTAATTTTAAGGAAATTTTGTTGTCTTTATCCACAGTTTCTCAGGTTGAAACATGACATTAAGTCATTTAGATAAAATACTGAAAAAGTAGAAATGGAGTAAAATCAAATTAATTAGTATTTATTTAGCTATTACAGGAAGATATATAGAGCTACGTGTTACATGCACATTAGTGTTCTTAATGTGATATTGACTTATGAATTGGTGTATTATGTATTATGTATTATGGTGTAAATATATGTCGTATAGCATAAGAATATTTAAAGCTTGCCTTACTTTAAAAAAAAGCCTTATTTTATATCTGCTCTGAGAAACTCATACTAAGTTAATGTAAGTTTTGTTTGCTGTGTGTTGGGGAGGAATACTTTTAAGGGCAATAGTGTTCTTAAACTGTAGGTACAAATAATATGAATGCTTATGAAAAAATGAAATAGAGAAGTCTTCTACACTCTGATAAGAAATTTTACCTCTGCCTCAAAAGATATCAAGGCAAGAAGATTGAGACTACACCAAACATTGAAGAATTTTATATTTTGATTAAAATAAAATGTTGATTCCATAACAAAAAGATGTATCCAATGTATTAGTTCCAGTGGAGTTAGAAGTCTTGAGATTGGTTTATATGGACAATAATGCACTAGATCTATTAATGCAAAGATCAGATTTCTATTTACTCTACTAGAGTAAATTGTATTGCTGTTCTCTGACTTGACTTGCCACGTAACTGCTATTATATGAATACCTGAAATTAGATCAGTGAAATGGTCTGATTCTATAGGTCTTTTGGCACTATGAAATCGAAAGACGTTTTAAGTTATTTAAACAGTTAGTTGGTCTCTAGTTCTTCTAATCACCTTTTAAAAATATAATAAAATCCTGTATTAACAGTTGCACATCCTGGCAACTTTTTGGCCGTTGAACAGGGTGATTTTTTTTTTTTTTTTTTGGTCAAATAATCTGGAAAATTTGAATAAAATTATATACTCTTGTCCATCTCTTTTATGGAGCTGGCAACATCAAGCCAGTTTTGACTCATCTACAGGTAAGTTGTCTATCTTGTTTTCTTCATATAATGTTCAGGTGAATAATTGTACTCAAGTTGTGCCTTTGTTTTACATCTGGTGCTGTGGCCTTTTTTTTCACTCTGAAAATTCACAAAGATCTGGGATTAGTTAAAGGATCTAGAGAATAATGAAATATAGACTGTCTTTAGAATGACATTAGCAGAGGCACTATTTGCTTAAATGTCATCTTGGAAATCTAGTACCTTCCTGAGTCACCCATTACTCAGTCAGTAACATGAGGACTGTGATTTCTTCAGCTAAAACAATCTTTACTTCTTCACAAGAAGTAAAGAACTTATATACACTCTGCTTTTTAAAAACCAGAACTAAAGCCTAAGCAGCCCTCCAAACCATAGAATCATAGACATGTGGAGTGATTAAGATTGAAAGGCACCTTAATCTTGTTCCAATTTCTTGCCATTTTAATCACAGGGATGACATGAAATTGCCACCACCAGGCTGTTTTGTTCCATTGCGACTGAAAATAGCAACAGCTATGTCATGATATGTAACACCAATAATTATACAAACTGTGAAACTGAAAAAACTTGAAGTGGATGATCACATGAAAGCATTTATCTAAACAAGAACTGGTAATATATGGGAATTATAGTTTACAGTCTCACACATTGTGGAATATTTTCTACTTTTTAAGAGGACAAAGGACAAGAAACATCAGTAGGCTCTGCAACAAAGGACAACATAGTATGTAGGTTACACAACTTGCTAAGCAACACAGATGAATAAATTGTTAGCTATCATGAAATGCACTAAAAATAAGGAAAATAAGTGAAAAAAAAAAATGAATCAGCTACTCTCATTACACTTAGGATTGCTTTGTATAGTTATCACCTCTGCTTGGCAATCAGATGTAATCTAGCTGGTATTCCTCTGCATAGAAGGGCATTAACCTTCCTATTATTGAATAGACACACCTTCCTTCTGAGACAAAGTATATCAGAACAGACAGCAGCTGAGGGGTATCACAGAATCATTAAGTTTGGAAGAAACCTCCAAGATCACCAAGTCCAACCCTTGAAGGAACACAACCTTGTCAACCAAACCACAGCACTAAATTCCACATTCAGTTATTTCTTTAACTTTTCCAGGAGTTGAGACTTCTCACCTGGAAAATTCTCCCTGATGTCCAACATGAATATGCCCTGGCACAGTTTGAGATTATGCCCTCTCGTTCTGTCACTATTTTCCTGGGAGAAGAGGTGCACCCCCATCTGGCTACACTCTCCTTTCAGGCAGTTTTAGAGAGTGATAAGGTCACCTATGAACCTCCTTTTCTCTCCAAGCCAAGCAACCCCAGTTCCCTCAGCTGTTTCTCTCATGAATTACTCTTTTAACCATTTTACCCACTCCATTCTCTGTCTCCTGACATGCTCCAGCACCTCAGTGTCTTGTAGTGAGGGGCCAAGAACTTGCCACAGCATTCCAGGTGTGACCTCTCCAGTGCTGAGTACAGGGGGACAATCCCTGCCCTGTCCTCTGGCCACACTACTGCTGCTACAGGCCAGGATGCCATCAGCCCTGCCCACCTGGGCACAGCTGACTCATGTTCAGCTGCTGACCAGAAAACCCAGATCCTTTCCCAGCAGGCAGCTTTCCAGCCACTCTTCTCCAAGCCTACTGACTTGCTCCAAGTTTTTTGACCAAAATTTAGAATTGCCAGAATTCTGATTTGTTGAACACCACACAACTGACCTCAGCCCATCAATCCAGCCTGTCCAGATTCCCTAGTAGATCCTTCCTTCCTTCCTTTCAGCAGATCAACACTCCCACCCCACATTATATCTCCAAACTTACTGCAGATGCACTAATCCAAATCACCAATAAAGATGCTATACAGAACTACAATTGCAGCACTGAGCCCTGGGGAACATAATCAGTGATGGGTTGTCAGCTGGATGTAATTCCTTTCATCACCAGTCTCTGAGCTTGGCCATCCCACCAGTTTGTAACAGAGCAGAGTTCACCTGGTCAAGCTAGTTTCTCCAGAAAAAAAAAAAAATATATATATATACACGTATTATCCTCCACACCATAAGATACAGACAGACACAGGGCAGTTTATCAGTCAGTAGAATGCTGAAAGAATGAAACTATACTCCACTCCTCTCCTCCCCTCCCCTCCTGTGAATTAATAGAGTCTTCAAGGGCCTCTCTGTAATTACTTGACAAAACATAAATCAGATGTACTTTTAAAGCTACTTATAAATATTTTCATATGAATAAGCTTGTGTTTTGGAAAGTCATAATGTACTGTTTATAGGCTGTAAACTATAAAGAATGTTTTACATATCAATTATTTTAAAGTTTTAAAAGCTCCTGTAAATTTATTTTCAGGTGGAACAGCATCCAGGCAGAAAGGATTTTTGGGATGCATTCGTTCATTACGGTTGAATGGAATGGCCCTTGACCTGGAAGAGAGAGCAAAGATAACACCAGGAGTTGAACCTGGCTGTCCTGGACATTGTAGCAGCTATGGTAACCTGTGTCACAATGGTGGAAAATGTAGAGAGAAATACAGTGGATTCTCCTGTGACTGCACTTTCTCAGCCTATGCTGGGCCATTCTGTAAGAAAGGCAAGCAGCTCTTTTAACTTTATCAGTTATTGAAAACAGGACCATACAGTCCAGAACAAGATCTTCAAATCCCCTTAAAGATATGTTTAAAGCTTGCAAAATATGTGGTTTACATAATGTAGGTAAATATTCATCAGAGTTTACACAATATCTATAAGTTTTCCTAAACACTGTTCTTTTAGAGGAAACTTCAAAATATACCATTTAAGCAGGAACAACATTACCCGAGAGCATCAGCAACTTCATACAACTTTTTTGATTCTTTGATGCTATAGTAAATCTAGGAACTATGATTTTGTGGTAAAACATTTGGATTTCTGTCTTTCAAATAGTAATCTCAAAACTGAGTTTGGAAAACAAACCAAGGAACAGAAGTACTTAAATCTACTTTTTGCTCTAAGAAGAAAGCAAGATCTTTGCAAACAGGACTCAGCCTATTTTCCAAGTCTTTTTAAAGTCATCAAGTCTGAATTTCCAAAGTAGAAGCTTATCTAGAAGTTTTGTTGCTTGCATATAATTCAAATTTGCAAAAAAAATCTTGCTTCCTCCATGTATTAAATGCATTCTGCAAAGTACTAAGCAGCTATATGCCACAACTTCATGTTCCTCTAAATTAGCACAAGATCTTCCCTGTCATCACTGCCAACACAAAAGTGAGGGACCACAAGAGTCTTCAGACTTTCTGCATCTAGCACTGCAGATCTTATGCCATTGATGGCATTAGGAGGAATGATGTTTTCCTCCTCTGCATCAGAAGGGACTAAGGTCGCACTGTAATATTTGGCAGAGACAGAGTAGATTCTGTTGCTAAAATTATTAGGATGACCTAAATAATAACTTTCAGTCAGTTTTTGTCAAATACTGGACCAGATTACAGAAACTTCAAGAAATTTCTCCAAAGTGTGAAAGCTGTGATCCAAAGCACTGAGACAATTGCTTTTAGCAGAAAAAAGCAGAAAACAGAAATCATAGAATTATGGAAGCCCTCTATAAGTGAGTCATACACAAAAAGAGCATGTTATTTTCTATTTTCCTTTTCTTTGTCCCACCTGACCAGTCTCTTCTACCACATATGTGTTTCACACCAAATCTAATCTAAATGTTAGGATTCAAATTGCTGCACCCACTTCTTTGTAGGAGCACTATACATACAAGACAGAATATTTTGTCCTTGAGGACTAGGATGATCAATAGAAAATAACCTAGAAAAAAATGTCTTAATGAAACAGATATTTAAGACACACATCTAAATGAGCTTTTTCCCTAGACCAGTTTGTGCCTTAAATTTCTCTGTAGTTCTAAATGTTAGTTCCATTTATATTTACTTTTTAGCTTTCTCACAATAGTTTGGAATAGTCCAGAACAGTCATTTTATTTTCTCCTGTGGTGTGGCAGAAGGGAAGAAAACACCAACAAACAACGAAAAAAGCTTTCTAGTGTTATTTTGCATTATATTTAAATATTGAATTGCTTTTTGTTCCAGAGATCTCTGCCTATTTTTGGACTGGCACTTCTGTGACATACAACTTTCAAGAATACTACACATTAGCTAAAAATTCCAGTTCTCATGCTTCTTCTTTCTATGCTGACATGACGCTGGCCAGGGAAGCAATTACATTTGCCTTTCGAACAACACGGACACCAAGCTTACTGCTCTATGTCAGCTCCTTCTACAAGGAGTACCTCTCGGCCATTCTCACCAGGAATGGTGAGTTTTCAGATTGGATGTCTGGAAACACTGATGAACATCATAATTAACTGCCACCTTGGATTCTCTCTGATTTCCAGACCTGAATCACAAACTACATATTGTGTCCTGTTGTTTCTGTAGATGGTATCCTTGTTTTTCACCTGCATCAAGGAATTCTTTCCACATGAAATGCATTCCTCCTCACTGTAGTTTCAACTTTTACTACTTTTTAAAAATCATGTTCTCAAAAACATTTATTTCTGAAAATCCTTTAGAAATGTTTGTATTTTAAAGTTTGGAAATTAAAATTAAAATTTATCTGAGCTGTGTTCTACTCATGAGGCCTATAAATTGCCATCCTCAAAATAAATTATGAAATGAAACACTTTTTAAAGTGCATTATCCATTTTCCAAATTAATCAGAGGTCATTTCATTGAATTTATTTCACAAGCTACTTATATACATATGAAAATAAACATATATACACATACATGTAAAAATATATGTAACGTTATTGATATTTCTATTTAAGCTGAACATTAACTATTCATTGGATTTTTCTTTTCCATTCTTTCATCTATATCTGGGTATTTTTTTTAAGTAAAAAAGCCCCACAGGCTAGGTTAAATTTTCAGGTTTATCAAAGACTCTTTGCTATCACTGTGGTTCTGTGCTTAAGGAAGGTTCTGTGCTTTCCTGGACACATATTTGGATAGGATAGCTGTGTTATCCTCCCTGTCATGTGACATGGAACATGTGTAGCTCATGTCTGGCCTGGCTCTGGCATGGGCCTTCATTTCTAGAGCATGAGTAGAAATTTGTGGTCCATCTACAGCTGGGAAGGAATTTCTAACCAGGAAATGACATTGCCTCTGCATTGATCTCTCAGTCTTTGTGTGATTATTTGTGTACAGATGGTATTCTTGGAGTTAACAATAAGGAATGGAAAATGATCTAGCAGTTAGTACACTGCATTCAGTTTAATTTTCAAATGGTCAGAGGTTTACAGGACTGGACAGGGAAAACATTATTCAAGAATTATGAGTTATTTTTGATAAGTCACAATTATGAAAGCTACCAGACTGTCTTTCTTAGCTGAATTATATAAATATAATAATATAAAATAAAATATTATATTATATTTTATAATATATATATTTATATATATATTTATATATAAATATAAAACTTCTGCCCAAATTTTAAGTCAATAATCAAAATTGAGACAGCTTATGACTATTTTTGCCACCATATCCTGCTTCTGACATTGCTTTACTCATTGTGTTGTCTTTAATTATATCCACTTACATCCATTTCTCATGGCTAAGTCCTTAAACACATCAAGCATTTTGCCCTTGCAGTACCCCTATGAAGCAGTATAGATCATATATCGCTTATCATCTATTGTATAGTATATCATATATCATAAAGTATAAGATCTGTACTGCTTTTAGTGTATGTAGTGCACTACACCTTTGCTCTCTTTATCCCTGCAGGAAGTTTACAGATTAGGTACAAGCTAGATAGCCATCAAGATCCTGATGTCTTCAGCATCAGTTTCAAAAGCATGGCTGATGGACAGCTACAACATGTGAAGATAAATAGAGAGGAGGAAACACTTTTTGTAGAGGTAATTCTGTTAGGGGTGGGGGAAAAAGTGGATTATCACAAAAAAGTAGACAAGCAAAATGCAGCAAATACTTGCAACAAGGCAATTACATGCAAATAAAATGTGCCTTAATATCTCAAGTAATCAAAGCAAAGTTTACACTCTTATGGTGCACAGTCAGAATTAATGTTAGCCAATCTCTTTGATGTTAATTTTGTTTATTTCAAAAGGTCTATATCACCTCCTCATTTTACATGAAAATGCAGTTAGTTGTTTAATGGTTAAATTTTCAAAATTTGGTAAATGTGTGTGACTGCTGTTGTTTGTTTTGGGTCCTTAATTTTTGGTTATTTTAGTTAAATTATGCATTAAACTACAATAAAAAAATATTACTACACAGTTAATAATTTAAATCTGTTTTAAAATTCTTCTTTGGTCTCTTTTACATCATCAAAGAAATGTGGCTATTACCATGGAAATTTCAGGATAAAATAGAAATATTTATTCTGCTAGTGGTTGATACTAACATGCAAAAAGTTGCGGTTTTTAAATTTTAAATTGAAAATACTTGCATGTTATAATTTAGTATTTTGGGGCTAGAACTTGGGTAATGGTACTTGGCTTGATGTTGTTCTAGAGGTACCCTGAGAGGCAGAATATTTACAATATAATATTTGATCTTTATGAAATTAAAAATTGAGTGCCTTTTTAAAATTAAAATAGACTTTTTCATATTCTTAAAGGTTTGCTATTTTTTATTCATCTTAGAGGTGAAAAAGAAAGAATCAGCCAAATCACTAAGATAAATAAAGACTTATTAAGTGGGATGCTTAAGAATATCAGTTATAATCAGTGATCTAAGGAAGCAGATAATCTATTTCCTGATGAGTTTTTATGCTATAAATAACAAAAGCTTTCCTCAGACCTTCTTATTTTTAGCCTTGACCTTACCTGCTTTTTAGAAAGTATTGGCTACTATCTCTTCTGTTATTCTACTTTGATCCTCACTCTATCAGGTTAACCAGAATGAAAGAATGAAGTTTATTCTGTCTTCAGGCACAGAATTCAATGCAATCAAGTCTCTCACACTTGGGAAAATTTTAGGTAAGTGGAACACTATTGCATTTTCTAAAACTGCAGGGTTTTCTAAAATATGGATAAAACATCATCATGGGGCATGAAAAAAATAACACAAATGTCATTGAAAGACATTTGTTGTTGTGAATTTACTTAGACACAGAGTAACAATCAAGGTAGAAACTTCAGTCTTGTGGAAATGCAGATATAATCACAAATAAGTGCTTCCTGAAAAAATGATCAAGTGAGTTCCATTAAAAATAATTGTACACTTCTCTCTCATTTTGCAATCAAGCATTAAGAAACATCACTTTGTTTTCTATTCTGGAGATAAAAACAAATCAAATTGAAATCATACACAAAGATGATATAATACTATGTAATCATGTATTCATACTTGAAAAACTTCCTGTGAATTGATTTTGATGTAAACAGTGAAGAATACGGTTATGTAAGTCAAATCTTTGTTGGAGATTCTTTGTCTTATTCTACAAAATATAACTGTTTCTCTGCAGTAATGATCAAAATATAATTTATCTATCTAAAATCACAATTTCTTAAAAGAAAATAACAATAGCCTGGACTGAAATTCTCAAGATCTTGTTATATCCTTACCTTTCATTTTGGCAATGATAGAGGAAGATGTGGTGTTGGTATAAATTTAAAGGATATTTCTCTTTCCTCTAAAGTAATTTCATAGAACCACAGAACGTTTTGGGTTGAAAAGGATACAAAAGGTCATCTAGCTCCAGCACCCCTGCTGTGTGCTGGAACAGCTTCATCCAGATCAGGTCATTCAAAGCCTCATCCACTGATCTAGAACACTTGCAATGAGGACATGCACTGCACCCCTGGGCAGTCTGTTCCAGCGTCTCTCACCCACATAGAATCTGAAGAAAATGAAGAATTTCTTCCTAATTTCCAGGTTAAATTTACAACTGCTCAGTTTAAAGCCATTCCTTTCTGCCCTATTACTATATGCATATGTAAAATGTCACTCTTCAGCTTTCTTGTAGCCTCCTTTAGGTACTGAAGGCTGCTATAAAATGACCTTGGAGACTTCTCCAGGCTTGAACATCCCCAATTCTCACAGTCTTTCTTTATAGGAAAGCTGCTCTAGTACTTTGATCATCTTCACGGTCCTTCTCCAGACTTGCTGTAACAAGTCCATGTCTTTCCTGTGCTGGGGACCCCAGAGCTGGATGCAGTGTTCCACGAGGGGTCTCACCAGAGCAGACGAGAGGCACAGAGTCACCTCCCTTGCCCTGCTGGCCATGATGCTTTGGATGCAGTCCAGAATCATTGAATGGCCTGGATTGGACAGGACCTTAAAGATCACCTCATTCCAACCCTCCATAATAGGCAGGAGCACCTTCCACTAGACCATTTTCTCAGAGCTGCATCCAACCTAGCCCTGAACAGCCCCAAAATACCAATGGCTTTTGGGCTGCAAGTGCACATTTCTGGCCCATGTTGTGCTTCTTGTCCCCCAACACCCCCAAGTCCTTCTCCTCAGGGCTGCTCTCAATTAATTCATCCCCCAGTCTGTATTTATATTGGGGGTTGCCTAGATGCAGGTGCATAACTTTGCACATGCCATTGTTGAATTTGATGAGATTCACTTGGTCCCAGTCCTCAAACCTGTTAGTGTCCATCTCTCAGGTGTGTCAACTGAACAATTCAGTTCAGTGTCATCCACAGAGTTTCTTCAGATACACTCAATCCCACTCTTGGTGTTATTAGAAAAGGTGTTGAACAGAAATGGTATCAGTGTGAGCCCAGAGGAGCACCACTTGTCACCAATCCCTTTTAGACATTGAGATGTTGCATGCAAATGTTTGGGTAAGGAGATCCAGTTAATTCTTTATCTGTCAAAGAGGTGGTGGTTGTTTTCAATTAATGAGAGTGCTATCTAGAAAAGGTAAAATAATATTTTAAAATATGTAATAAAATTCATACAGTGATAGTTATTTTTATGAGAGCAATTACCAAATGCTAAATAGCTTAAAATGTATTAAAGAAATTCAGAAACCATGTTTTTAGACCACAGAAAAAAATCTTAATTATTGTTTAGTTATCATTAGGAGAATCTCAGTGTAGCTGATTTGTTTTCTTACTAGAAAACTAAGTACCTCTAACACAAACAGAAACATATACTTTCAAAAGGTAGATTTTATATGCAAATCTCACACTGCAAAAGAGAACCAGTATATAGATATGCACAGAAGATTAAAAAGAGAATGTTCACTTTATGCATAACTTTAAAGCAATATTAGCTGAAATATAAACTACTACAAGAAAATTGTTACAAATATTTCCAAACTTTACAATATGATGATAAATTGAATCAGAAAAGTATAATATTTTGAAGTGTAGTAGCTTATGGCAGTCACACTCACATAAGGCTAATACAACAGTGACTAGTGCAGAATGAAAGCTTCTTTCATCTTTGTTATAAAATATCATATCAAAACTTATATCTGTTTACTTTAAAATGCATTTGATTAAATTTATGGAAATGTATATTTTTAGACAAATTATCTTTTGACCAGGACCAATATTGTCTCTTCCAAAGAGTCATGTAGTTACAAAAATTCAGAGGTGATTTCCTTCAGTTACATGATGGCTTTGCAATGATACAGCAGTACAAAGCACAGAGTTGCAATGACATGTGGGGCAGTTGGCCCAATTTGTCTCAGAATGTGTCCTGAAGAAAGCATATATCTTTCCCCATTTCAAGGAAGTACTATTTCTCTCAAAAATATGATTGCTTTAGGTTCTGATTCTTATGAAGTCCTATCTAGAGACTGAAGAAGACTTCATGAAGGCAGAGGAAAAAAGTAATGAGTGTTTGTTGCAGTGAAGAGGTCTAAACATAAGGAGACAATAAAATATGAGATCACGTATTTCTTGTACATGAAAATGTCATTCAGGAAAACCACACACGGAAGCTTTTTTTTTAAATAATTCTCTTCAGTTGGAGAAGTACTTTTCTGAGCTCTTCTGCATTTGAACATGGCCGTGTTTTCTTCAAACAAAACTTTGGCACAGTGTCCTGCTCCAGCTGGATCCCTGTAAGGCTATGGGACCTGATGGGATTCAAGCAGTAATACTCAAAAAGCTGGCTGATGTCACTGCCAGGCCTCTCTCAGTGGTTTTTGAATGATGGAATCTATACAAGTTCCGGTTGATGGGAAACTCGCTGATGTTGTCCCAGGCTTCAATAAGGGTATATAAGACTGACCCAGCAAACTACAGGCCTGTCAGTCTCACTTCAGTGTTTTGTTTTTTTAAATTACGGAGAAGATTATTCTAGAAGGTATTGAAAAACAGCTGAAGGACAATGCAGTCATTTTTCGTAGCCAGAACAGGTCCATGAGAGGAAAGTCTTGCTTGTCAAACCAAATTTCCATTTATGACAACATAGATATCCCTTGTTGATCAAAGGAAGCCAGTCGACGTAGTCCCTTTCAGTAAATCTTTTGACGCTGTTTCTCACAGGATCATTCTGGAAAAAGTGTCCAGTCCACAGCTGGATAAACACATCATGGGATGGGTGAGCAGCTGGGTCATGGGTCAGGCACAAAGGGTCACAGTGAATGGGGTGACATCAGACTGGGAACCTGTCACTGGTGGGGTTCCACAGAGCTCCATCCTCAGCCTGTGCATTTCAACATCTTTGTAAATTACTTGAATATAGGAGATGAAGGTACAGTAAGTTTAACAATGATACAAAATTAAGAGGAACTATTGACTCCCTTGAAGGCAGAAGCCTTGCAGAGAGACAGCAACAAATTAGAGGGCTGAGCAGTTGCCAGCTGTATAAAATTTAACAAAGACAGCTTCCAGAGTCTGTAACTGGATGTAAGGACATAATGGGAAATGAGATTCTGGAAAGCAGCACTGCATAAAGGGACTTGGGTGTCCTGGTGAATGATGTATTGAATGATGTATCAGCAGTGCCCTGGCAGCCAGGAGGGCCAGCCCGGCCCTGGAGTGCCTCAGGCACAGTATCACCAGCCAGGCAAGGGAGGGGATTGCACTGGAAGGGCCTCACCTCGAGTTGTGCAGTTTTGGGTGACGTAATATGTGATATAAAGCTATTAGAAGGCATCACAGTTCTTTTCTTAAAATGTTCTGATAGGAGCTGTATGTCTGCTGACTTTCTGCTTGACTACTTCTAAAGACAAATGGTTGAGAGTTAAAGAGAGTTACTGAGTGTGTTTTGCTTTTGAGGGTTCTTTTTTTAGTGTGGTTTTTTTTTTTTTTTTTTTTTTTTTTAAGACAATGTAGGTGGAGTCATTTTGTCTATGGTTAACTTGGGTACCCTTAGCAAATAAATGTCTAATAAGATATTTAATGTCTTGGTTTTGAAAGGCAGATGTCTGCTAAAGAAGGCAGGAGCCTCCTTTGGAATGTTAAACACCTTCCCTCCAAATTATTATAATTTTGAAATTAATGGGATGGGTCCTTCTTTTTGTGAGATGGGTGATAATGAGGTTCAGTGGCTGCTCTCGCAAACAGAGGTTCATCCATGGCAGAAGAAGCAGCTCCTGGCTGGGCTCCGCTGGCAGCAGCGAATTCCCTTTCCCAAACAGCAGCTCCGACTGTTCTCCAAAGCCAAGAGAGAGAGAGGGGCAGCTGCCCCATCCCCATCTTTTACCTGCCCAACTCCTGTGTTATCTCTGCCCCTTGGGGAGAAACTCCCAGACTAGAGAAATGCAACCAGATGCCCTCCTCCCCTGAGCTTGGCCACTTCTCTTGTTTTCTTAAAGTACCCCAGTCATTAGTGTTTCCTAGCAACTTATGGGAAAAAATGCCCTAAGTAAAAAGGAACAAAAGGAAAGAAACTTAACCCCCAACATTAAGGATGCATAATTTCATTTTACTGTAATATACAATAAACAACCTATGAGTGTTTTTGAGTGCCACTTTCAGTCAGTTAAATTTTACTTTAGGAGGAAATTGGATGATGGTGGTCTCCCTAAGCCCTTTCACTTTTATCATCAAGATTGCCTGATCCAATATAAAGCTTTACTTTATCCATCAATATGCCCTGGTTAAGGAGTCAAGTGAAATCAAAGAATTAAAAATATTTCCTTTCCTCTTATACATATATGTAATTTAATAAAGGATACATATAGGAACAAAAAGATAATAGAAATCACTTTTCTCTTGAGGTTTTCAATCTGACTCATATTTAGAGGTATCTATTTTTGTCATAGGGGGTTTGTGAAAATGTTTTCTTGCCACTTTTTTGTTAATATTTTTTTTTTTTAAATATTCCATCATAGCAGATCCATGAATGCATAGAGGCAGGTAATAAAAACAGCTGCAAAGAAAGCAGAGACAGTTAAAACATTGAACATTTTATGTAATCCCTCAGTGTAGGTGAGCAGACTTTTGTCTGACACCCTTTTGTCTAGTAGTCCATCATCACTGCAATAAGCAGGGATTAGCTGAGGAAAATGCTACTCTACTATTTTGCAACATTCTATCTGAACACATTATCCCACATTTCGCTATTAACCTAAATTTTATTGAGGAGTACATTCTAAAACATATTTATTATGGTAAGTATTGTAAAGGTCACAAGTTCATTTGTGGGTTCCAGGACATGTTGGAAGTGAAAATTATTGAGATGAAATTTCTATTTTATTTGCAAATTTACTTTCTTTATGAGTTATACTTTTATAACTTCCAGAGTATTTCCAGAGTTTTTGCTTAAACTAGAGTTGTCAGAGTAAATAAACTGTTTGTTTTCTGCATCAAAAGTGGTGCTTTAGTGAGCATTACCAGTGAATTAACAGATAGTTCTAGCATGCAAAGTACTTTCCACAAGCCTTCGGAAAGGTAACTCAAGAGAAAAAGTGAGGAGGTACCTTTCATTTTTTTCCTCTCCCTTTGTAATATCAAGAATGGTATCATTTTTTAAAATATAAAGTAACACTATTATTTTTAAAAATTTCACAGAAAATATCGTGATGGATTTCCAGAATCTGAAGATCTGAGATTCTGAGATCTTCAGGGTGTTTTTCTTTGACATACTTGATGATGTTGAAATGGAGTAGATATATGAGTCTATAACATGAATATGTTCCAAAAATGTTTATTTATTAGAAGAAATCCACTAAAATGAATTTTTCTGGAATTCATTCTTCAGTTTTATATTTTTGCAGAATGAAAAAATTGTTGCATTTTAATTTTAATACTTTATTTACAATAGAAACTTTTTACTTTGAAACTTGCTATGAGAATTTAAAAGCATTTCCCTCAGCAGATTAGCAACTGTCATCTGTTCAAAAGAAAGGGGGAAGGGGTTGAATATATCTGACTGTCTTTTCATTTAAGTCAGACAAGAAAGAGAGTCAGTGAGTCTACATATGTTGTTGCAACTCAAATATACTCAGAGGAACACAGGTTAATTATTCATTTATTCTTCTGACACTTTATTTTGTACATTTGCACTATGATTAATTGTGTTCTGTTCCTTTTGATTAACAGAAAACAGTGATGTAGATGAGGAGACCATGAAGGCAAACTCTCAGGGGTTTGTTGGCTGTCTATCTTCAGTGCAGTTCAACCACATTGCTCCTTTGAAGGCTGCACTGCACCACAGCAGCTCAGCCCCTGTCATTGTAAAAGGGCGTTTCACTGAATCCAGCTGTGGTGCTTTAACTGGAGCTGACTCAACATCAAGTGAAACAACCCATTCATTTGCAGGTAGCATATGTTTATCACTTGTTCTGATCTCTGAAGAAAAATCCAAATAGAACACTCATGACCTGAATCACAACTGACTTTTTATTTTCCCATGCGGGTTAACATCTCAGGAGTAGTTTGTAAATAATTCTCTTTTATATGTACTTACTTCCTTTTCTCCAGCCTTTCTCTTTTCATCTGAATATTTACACTTTCCTTTTTATCTCTGCAAAGTGTCATCTACATTGATGTTCTGTGCATGCTTACTGACCCATACTACTGCCACTGTACCATATTGTAAATGAACTGTGACTGTGAGAATTTCATAAAAAAAGTCTTCTATTTGTCTGTCATTTTCTTTTCTTTTTTTTTTTCTTTTTCTGCTGCAGATCACTCTGGACCAATAGATGAGGGAAAGCCCTTAGCTAATGCAATCAGAAGTGACTCTGCAATTATTGGAGGTAATAGGGACTGTAATAAATCCACAGGGAACTTTTCTAGCTGTGAATCTGTCATTGATTAAGTAAAGTCAGTTTAGTTTTGTGTGCATTCAGAAACAAGTAAAATCTCTTCATTTTGCTACAGTTGGTAGACAGATTGAAGTCAAGCATTGTTTTAAAATACAATTGGTCACACTATTCTTATTACATAAATTTATGCCATTTCCATATATTGAAACATTCTGGTGAAAAACAGGGTAGTAAGGGCATAATTTCAACCTGCATAATAGTGGTGTCTGAAATCTTTAAAAGTGCTTGGATTTGTTGTGAAAAAAGAAAGAACCATCATTTCTTTTTGATTTTGCCAAAAATTTACCTTTTGCTACAAAGACATATATAAAATTTTCTTTAATAAATCTGAACAACAAAGACTTTTCCTTGAGAATATGAGGTTTAACACTGCTTGAATCAATCTTCTAACAGTCTGAGGAAATTTCATCCTGGTTTCTTCTTTGGAAGGCAATGTACTCTTGGAAAGACATTCACTTGTGTTGATTAACAGCTTAAAATACATGTTAAAATAATAATAATAATTTTAAAAAATACTCTTGGTTTGAAATACAATATCTTCTTCATTTTCTTCCTATTTTTTTAGATATTTTTATCTGCTCAAATAGATCTACAAATGACCACTCATATTTTTTTTTTTTTTTCAAAATACTTGTTTTTATCAGAGGAATAGAGGAAGGACCATGTAGAATTCAGTTACTTCTGGAGTGAATTTGGTATAGTCCCTCTACTGTTTATGCCTGTCAGCACAGAGCATAAAGCTTAGGACAGATGTGTGTGCTTAAAGTACACGACTGATAATCAGGATGTACAGGTTCCATCCCCATGCCTTTCTGGATGATTGTCCCTCTCATATGAATCCTACATGAAGGATACATCTCATATGGATACCCACATGAAATTTCTGTCTCCAGCAAAAATGAGAAGTACACAAGTGAGACTCAGTAGGGGCAGTTTAGGGTTGGGGACCTTTGCCAGAAACTCAAGTCCTTTTACCAGTATTGAAGTATGTGTATGTCTGTTGGTTCAAATTTTCTTTCAAGGCATAGTATCCTCTCCTGTGATAATCATCCTCTGTGAGAATTTCTAGGAGTATTTCTGCTTTTGGGAGGGACTGAGGAAATAAAACTTGAAGATTATGTTTTGGCAGTATAATTCAAATTTCATAGATACTTTGACAGAAACAGCAGTGGGATGAAAAGGTCACCCCATTTATCTTTTAAATTCTGAAAATATTTACTTTCTAATAATTTTTAAAGCCTTAGTAGAAAAAGGAAATAGTGGAATTTAGTAGAATAAAACTGTCCAGACTTTTCATTAAAGTTAAAATTATTTAAGTGTATGAATGGTTAAGTTAGGATAAGAATCTGCAGTCACTTTTGTCTTCCTTTTATACAGTGACACCTCCTGTAGTCAGGGCATGCAAAAACACACTGCATCACTAGTGACCTTTAAGAGAGTAGCACCAAAGATGCTAAAATGAGATTATTAAACCTAGAAGGTTCCCTGCTTGTAAAGTGATAGTTATGTCTGTGTAATTCTCTACATACCAAATGAGAATTTTACCACTGATTTCAAGGAAGGTCAGAATTAAAAAAGTTGTTTTCTGAGTTTTTTACATATCTAGCTTTGTCAAAACTTGCTTTACTATTTCAAAATATTAATACATATTTTTACATAAGTATCTGTACATAAAGATTGCTATGTATTAGATAACTTAGTGTGGATGGAGATTTTTAAGTGTGCTAACATAATGCATTTTCTTAACTTCAAACTATAATAGGTAAAATCCTTTTAAGATAATAATAACAATACCATTTTTTGTTATTAAACACATTTGGCAATATGCAGTCACAATATTTCTACTGTCTATATTTGTTTAAAAGTCAAAACAAAGCAAACTGTGCAACATACAGTAAAAATTAAGGTTAAACACCTCAGCTGAATAAAACTGAGAATGGTATCAGTTCAGCTACTTCAGACAAAACAAGTTTATAGAAAAGTCCTTAAAAAGAGCATGTACTGTGATTTAAATAAAAAACTGTGTTTGTTAATCTAAATAAAATCAAGATTTACTTAGATCACAAGGTCCATTTCAGAGAAGGATCTAGTGTATAGTAGAGGTCAAGAAAATTGGCATGTACTGAATTTTGGATGCTCTGTTTTTTTAGTGCTAAGGGACTAGGTATTTTTATTTTTCTTGCAGTGACAGCAAGTTGTACAAAAGACTGTCCCTTTGTCTCCTGTAACTGAGGCACCACATTACAACTGTTTCCCAGACTGCTTAGTGCTCTTTCCATTCCCAACAGCCAGCCCTATTTTCTGCCTCTTTGACAAACATGATCCATTTCCTTCCTGTTTCACATCTCAAATTCTTCTCCTGCCCATCTTCTGACTCATGAAGCTAAGGTCCTAAGACCATGAAGACCGGATGAATGAGGAAGAGAGGAGATGGGCTGGCAGTCTGTAAGGTCTTGCCTTCTCTGTGCAAAATATTTCATCTTACTGTTCCTTATCTGCAGTGGCTTGAGCTCTTAAAACAGCACAGAACTAGGGCCTGATATTGAAGAAGAAAAAGAAACCTTCTTATTGAAAATAAGGCCCCTAGTGGTTTTCCATTCAAAAATTTCAGAAATTGTAATGATCTGTCCATTTTATATTATTATTATTATTACTATACAAAATTTCAAAACAATCATCATTAAACTTATTCTACAGTGTTGTTTCTGATTTGAAAGCAGCTGTCTTCTCATTTCTCAGGCTTTTATGTAAGCCCTTCCTTCCATTGTGTGATGTAGTCATTCCTTCTTTATCCTGCTCTCTTACGTGCTATTATTTGTCTATCCTTTCTCATTACTTTTTTTCTCTTTTCTTCTTGTAGGTGTGATAGCAGTTGTCATATTCATTCTACTTTGCATCACGGCCATAGCCATACGCATTTATAAAAAAAAAGGCATATACTCAAAAAATGAGGCAAAAGGATCTGAAAACGAAGACAGTGCTGAATCTGCATTGAAAAGTGAGCTCAGCATGCAAAATACAGCCAATGAAAATCAAAAGGAATACTTCTTCTGATTATCATTAATGATTTAATTTAATATAGTAACGTGACAGTCTGACTTTCTTGCTAAGCCAGGGGGCTCTCACTGGGCAGAAAAAGTTCTTGCACACTACTCTAAATGCAATGGATTTGAGACTTACTATACTGGATATGTTCAGTCTCAGTGATTGCTGTAGCGGGCCTCTTTGAATTACATGCATTCCTTAGCTATTATACCGTAAATGCATTTTATGTAACAGTGAATTAGATATTGTAACCAATTTCATTGTTGGTAGTTTCCGACTGTTCTAATGTGACCTTCTACAAATGAAGTTTAATGTACACACTGAATATGACTTTTGAATGGGAAAATTGTTATGAATTTATTCCTATCCTTTTCTTTAAAATTTGATTGATGATTTTTTTGTTCAAGGTGAAAGGTAGATTCTTATACTTTATGTACTAAAGAAATTCTGCTGTGATGCATTATGGTGATCCGTCTTACTTCCTCAAACTGAAAATGCCTTTTGAGCTGCTGTTGGCTGGTGTCAGCATCTGCTTGTGAGCCATGGCATTTGATGTCCAGAACAAACTGTATTTTTTTCTCCCTGGGATGTGACTGATATCTTCATTATCCCTTCCTTTTGTCAGGCTTAGCAGAACTGAAGAGTGTCCAGTGGGTTGAAATATTTAGAATCTCTTTTGCAGTAGATTTTCACTTACAGTAAGGGGATGGCACCAAGAGACTCATGCACATTCTGGGTATTTTGAATAAAACTTGTGGGGGGGAGGGGGAGGAAGGCAAGACCTTTGTTTGGAAAGATCAAGTAAAACACTAACAATAGTTAATTTATCAAGAATGAAAACACCAAAAGATGGTCAAGGTCACTGCCCCTGGAAATTAGTGATGACGCTTCTGTCAAAAAGTAATACCCAGTGCACTATGTGGGATGTATTCTCTGAAACTGTTGTATCTATGATTTGTTCCAGACCTCAAGACTACTTTTTTCTATGTTATAGAAATTATACAGTGTCTGCCACATGAACACTTTAATTCTGCACTTTTAATAGTACCTACTATACCTCTGTGAGAAAAGGTCTGATTACACCACTCAAAATTAAACATTTGCTTACTATGCTGACAGAGTAAATGAAAGCTATTTATATTTACAAACAAACTGTTAGATATGAGGGCTAGGTTTAAGTTGTCTAAAAAGAATGTAAGGTCAATTTATACACCATAGGTTATCTGAAATACCCATATGGCCTGATGTGAATCTCAGAGATTCTACAGAAGGTTTGTGTCTTTTGGAAAACACATACAGGAACTGGGTAGAAGGCATTTAAATGGCATTAGATATTTAGGTATATTTAGGTATTTGACCCACACAAAGCATTTTTTTTTGTTTTCCCCAGTCAGATGACTGGATGTCTAGAGCTTGGATCTGAGAATTTCTGTGACCTTGTAGACTTGAGTTTGAAATTTAAATAACTTCCAGAATTTATTTATACCTACTCCCACTGAAAGCAATGAGAACAATCATTGTTTTTCTATTCAAAGAATAAATACTAGACCCTAGATTCTGAAGTTTAGAAAATGTTTATCATAAGTGCCCAACAACATTATTAAGACATGGAAAACTGACATATGCCAAAATCCTTAATATGTAAATTTATTTGCATAAATGGTAATTGTAAATATAAATGTCCAGCAGATGGTTTCATTTAAAACTTATTTTCTTCCATCAGTCTTTACCTTCAATTTTCAGAATTCTACTATTCCTTTCTACTTCCTTCTATACAGATTTACTTAATTTTTAGGAAAAATTTATTTCCTTTTTTGGGGTGCCTGGATGCTCTGCAATCATAAATTGTTCCGATTAACATGCTGTGCTTTTTTGTTTTCATTTTTGCAATTCTGTTTGCATGTCTGATAGATTAATCAGGCTGAGGACCCAGGATCAAGAACTGTATCCATGTTGTGGATTTGATACAGTTTGCTTCATGACAAGAGGTCACCTTTAGGAAGGCCAGAGTTGCACTTATTGGCTATTCCAAATAAGTGATGAAAATATCCTGTTTGTGGATGGGGAGTGGTGGACGTGAAAGCCTCACATGACCCATGGAAAGAAGACTTTTAATTATTAAGTTTGCTACTTTGAACCTTCTCATCTACTTACTTTGAAGTGAAAATTATTACTTCTTTTTGAGGCCATGACCTAAATTGCATTAATTTCAAGAGAAGCCCTCCCATGGACTTCTCTGCAACCAAAGCCTGTGCATTTCAGGTTTTCCCTTTCTGCTGCAGACATGTAGGTTTTTAAGTGGTTCTTAGTGCCACTTATATCAACAGAGTCACCTGCAGGGACGTGTCCCAGTCAACTCCATATTCTATCATTGTGGGATGTAGTAACAATGTGGGACAAAATCTACAAGATGATGGTTATAGTACACCAAAGCAGATATTTTGACTGAATAATAAAAAACAAGTTTTCTTTTATCTTAACTCTTATATGAGAGTTGCTCATATAAATTTAATAAAGTGTAAATTTTACCCACAACAGGACAAGTTGGAAGAATGTAAACCTAACTTTTCAATCAGTTGGTCTTAGTTTTATTGTCTTGTAATGTTTTATTGTGTGTCTTCATGGAGAGAAAGTTCTCTTTCCTTACTTTGTTTTGTTCCAAAAGAACACTTTCTTTCCTTATTCCTTAGAGTTTTAAAAGGAACAGGAAGGGGAAAGCTTAGTAAAATCCCTATTTCACAGACTGGATAAAAAGGCAGAGGACAATAAAAATGCCTGTATGAGTGGCATGCTATTTCATTCAAAGACTTCTTTTAAGGCATTCTATTTTGTGAGGGATTCTAAGAGGGAAAAGATATATGGATTTTGTTGGATGAACGTCTCTAGATTTTTAGAATAAATCTATTACGCCTCCCTGAAGATGCAAATTCCCATTTTCATCCGTAGAAACAGTGATCATATGTTTGTCACCTTAATCTAAAATATACATGTTTGAAATCAATGAAGCAGCATTTTTCATTACTTGCTGCATTTCTATGGGGATAAAAAAAATGGTGGCACCGAAGTGCGCTCAAATGTCATAGAACATTGTGCTGTCCCTTTCTGATTCTCTATGCCATTGTGTGATTTTCACCTCACTGTTAATAAAGACTTTTTAAAATAAAGTGAGGAAAATATTTTTTAAAAGAATTTGTATTAAAAAAGTTTAAAACTGACAACAATATACTGATTTTTTTTCAACAGTAAATATATGTAGAAGTGCACATAATATATTGGTGAGTGTGGTTATTTATAAATACTTTGGAGCACTATTGTGACAAATTTGCTATGCATTGACAAATTTTCCATGGTAAATATATTTTTTCTTAAGTACATTAGAAAATAAATAGAGGTATGTATACTGGTACATTTTTAAAGCTTTGTGTGGGTTCTAGCTATAAAGGACTTATAATTATTTATGTACTCAACATTTAGCATATAAATATGATTTAGTTAGGTTTTGGGAAAATATTTTCTAATACATCCAGTGTTGTGTAAATGAAGAATATGTTATAAAACAAGTGCACAACTTAACATAGAATGTAGTCATGATCAAAATAAATTTACAATATCATTATTCATTGCAGCAATGTACAAGGAAAAAGGACAAAAGTCCTTTAAGGAAACATCTGCATAAATTCAGAACATGCAACAATTGCAACTTAGCAGGGCTTGATAAGAAAATATAATTTTGAAATAAAATTAGTTACTTTTAGAAGCAATTGTAGTAGTTTACACTCAAGGCAAAGATATAGCCACATACGCCGTGTGATGCTACAGGAAAAGAATGTTCTTTTAACAGAAAAAATATCTGCAAAGTCAGAAAACCTAGTTCTGAAAAAGCTTGTGCCCTAGTCTCTGACTGCAGTGAACATTCTCCAGAGTGAATAAGAAGAAACATCACATAATTTTTTGCAAATTGAGCACCTAATACTGCAGCTGAAAGTATGGTAATTCCTTAGTGTTTCTGAACATTTAATGAGGTTGTATATTATCAATAAGGAAGAAAAGTAAAAAAATCTTTCAGAAACTAATGCTGACTGAAAAGATATATGTGTAAATGTATGGAAGTTGTTTCAGTGTCATTTTTTTTTAAATGCACAAAACAACATGCTTAAAAGAATACACAACAGAAAGGATGTGCCCTTTAAACTTCCTCTATTTAGAACCTTCTCCTGGGGCCTTTTGGCAGTGGTGGTAAGAGAAGGCTTTAATGAGTTTGAGTACAGAAATTCTGAACAGCTGCTAATTTGAGAAACAGATACAAAACCACAAAGGTGTTCATAGACAATGCTTTGAAGTCAAATTCATCGTAATTCTTGAAGAACTGTCTAAAAAATATTTTAGACAAAAACTGGCACTGTTCTTTGGATACATTCATCATACCTCAATTTTTGCTCTTCTCATTTCTAAGAAAGGAATCACACAGCATAATATCATTGCAGACAGAGGGATGCCCTTATATTAAGCACTAACATAAAATCTCACTTAAATTTATATTAATTTCTGATGCATGATGAAATGTTGATGTTGCTAACATTTTGTATAAATAGCATTGAATAAATAATTTTTAAAACCCTTATTAAATAGAATGGTAAATCCACAGTAAAAATCAACTTCAGCCTATGAGGAAATGTGTGTACCCACATGCATACACACATGCATTCAGTGGGCTATTTTACAAATTTTACAATTTTCTTTGTATTATGTCAAATATTGAGGAAATGTCCAGAGTTCAGAAGCATCCTCCCCACACTCCCTATATTTGTTAATATTCAAACTATTTAAAGAAATAGTTGGTGTTTTTAGGGTTTTTTTCAAGGGGGCAAAAAATAAGATCTTGAAGTCTCCTCAAGGACTGTAAGAGGTAGAAAACCAGACTTCTGATAGAAAAGGTTGCAGTATCCCCCACACAGACAAGGCTTTTTTTTTTTTTTTTAACTTGTTTTCTAGTTACATCTAGGGCCTGAGAAATCATTTGATTTCAAAGTAAATTTCATACACACATACATAAATCAATAAACTGAACATCATATTTAAGATACTGCATAATATGTGTCCTAAAAAAGTTCTAATTTATTAGTAACCTTTGACCCAGCTGGTATGTCCTTTACCAATTAAATGTCCAAAAGAGAAGCAGATACTCAAAATCATTCTGAAATCCAAGAAAGTTAATGATAAATAATCAGTGAGTTGAACCAGATTTCATCACTGTGAATTTGTCATCAGGAACCTAGTGATAACATAAAAAAAATATTAAAATAATGTTTATATTCTTCTACAAACCAACTGATAACAGATAGGGTCTGGTAATCTTTGTAGGTTATACTTTTTAGCACAGTACAGTATTTTTGTAACATACTGATACATGCAAGAACTAAATGCAAGTAAAATGCAATTTTTTTGAAGTCTGTGAACTGA